ATTAATACGGGCCGGCGCTAGGCTAGATGTAGGGGGGGTGGCAGGAAGAGAAAAGGGGGGTGATGCGGAGAGAATAGGGGGGTGGTAATTAAGCTCGTCCTTGCGTAAATCGTGCTCTTTCGAAATTTATATTACAAATGCTCTGGAGAAGTTTAGGAGCTAAAGCACGACTGCGGTCTGAGCGTCGGGGTCACCTGATTCGGCTAATCGAAGCTTTGAATTCGGGATTCTTGACCTGTGAAACATACTATGTATTTATCGGCTTGCCAGGGTCACCTTAATCTCGGTCTCAGGTGATTAAAACATTGGCGATATATTATCAATTCATAGGCACGTCACAAATGGGAAAAGAAGTTTCATAAGCAACAAATGTGAGATTTTATGCATAGACCACATATCACCGGGCAACCCATTTCTAGCTAAACTGAACCCCACTTTCGATAGAAATACTTTAAAATCTTACAAAGAGTGAACTCTCTAAGCCTCTTTGGTAATTAGAAATATCATCATAATCGCACAAAGACTCCATCAACCCCAGGACTCCATAGCCTCTCCCGGGCCTTTTAGTAACGCAAGTCTAGTCCCTTAGACCGCAAACGAACCCTAAACTCCCCCTTCTAGCACCCACATCGTCTAGAAAGAAGCCCGCACTTCCTCCTCCTCCATCTTCTTCCGCAACTTCTCGGCCGCCTCACGCTCCGGGTCCTTCTGATGCAACTCCATCCAATCTATCACGAACACCGCCCCCTCGTCCACCAGCGCCTTCGGCATGATGTTCCTGGTTTTGTCAAAGTAGTACTCCACGGCGCCATGCACAGCCCTCACAAGCCCGCATACATCAAGCGACCAAATACGCCGCCGCAGAACCTCCGCGTTAATCTCCCGCTCAAAGGTCTCCATCTTATCGAACCCCCGCTCCCAGCCTCTCCGAACAAGTCCCGCAAAGGCGAACGCACCGTACTCGAACTCCGGAAACGCGACAAACTCCCCCAAGTCAGTGAGCTCAAAGGCCGCATCCCGCCCCTTCTCGAGGAAGAACAGCGTCGACGCCAACGCGAACTGCTCCGTCGCCGCCCCTGCGCCCTCCATGCCCGGCTTGTTGAGCCAATACGGCATCTTGAGCTCCGGCATCGGGCGGCCTTTCTTGACGCTGTTGTCGAAGCCCGCGAGCTTGACGTGCCACGTCTCCGCCTGGAGCAGCACATTCGAGGGGCGGAGCTCGCCGTGCACGAAGCCGAGGTTCTCGATCCACGCGGCGGCCGATGCGATCTCCCCTGCCCAGAGCATCCTCTGGTCCCACTTGACGGGGTGGTAGGCTAGTTTGGTGAGGCGGTCGTGCAGCGACAAGGCGGCACGCTCCACGAAGAGGCCCTCGGGGACGGTCAGGAAGCATTGGAGGATGTGCGGGTGCGGGTGGTGTTTCAGGAAGTCGTAGGCGCGCTTTTCGCGCTTTTGGGCCTTCCAGGAGGCCTTGGCTTCGTCCCAGCGCGAGTCGATGTGGATTAGCATGTTGTGGAGTATTGGCACTTTTAGGACCACGCGACGGTCGAGCTTGAAGATGATGCCGTAGGTGCCGTAGATGGTTTCGTACGGAGTGTCCGTCAGGGCGAGGTCGGAAAAGGGGAATTGAAGGCTTGGGATGGGAAAGCCCATCACCTCAAGGTCGAAGTGCCCCGGGTCCATTCCGAAGATTCTGTTGAGGCCGGGTTTCGAACCAAGTTGCCTGACCCTGCGGGTTGTGGAGGAGAGAACGGCTTGAAGGGCTCCTGGCTAGTACAGAGATAACTAGGTAGATGATGCGGATGTGGTGGTGAGGGTGGTGGTGGTGGTGGCTGTGTCTATTTAGGTGGACGAAGACAAGGAAGTAAATACTCTAAGTTACTATATGGCAGATATGCGCTGCGAAGTATTCACCAGCTAGAGCGGCATAGAGAGCGGGATTCGCGGAAAACATAGCGCGGCAGGCAGCCGGCAGTGTAGGTGGTGAAGGTTGTCTATCCGCTGGTCATAGCGCTGGCTGTCACCAGCAGCGAAAATGGGTGAATGCGTTGGGACGAAAACAATTCAATCTGTGCTTTAAGAAGTACGGCTGAGGGGCTGGCGGTTTAGGCAAGTAGTGGAGTAGTTACCATGTCATATGCTTGTTGGAAGGTTTGTCACGATAACAAGCTCAGTGTAAACGAATTTTACCTCTTGGCTCGTTCCATCTCAACTCCTACCATTGTCCTACCCTTTCCAATGCCCAGCCACATTTGCCGGCCATGGATGCTGTTGCTGGTCCTCTTTCAACCATCCCATGAATATTCCAATCCATCTTTCAGGGCCCAGGAAGCACGAATGGGCAACGCGCCTCACTACCTTGTCCCTATATCTGACAAAGTTAGGAGGCATCTCCGGATTTCCAAGCGCACCATCCGGTGATCGCATGCATTTGACAGCCTTCTTCGCCGCCGCATCGAGCGCCCCTTGCATCTGGTCCACTGACACGACTTGGCCGTGTTGGTTTCGCAGCTCAGTCCTGAGAGCTTGGTGGACAGCACGTGACTCGAGGAAAGTCACGGGATTGTCGAGCTGATATCCGTACGGCAGGACCATCTCGACGTAGATGATGACCTCATCCATGAACTTGATGGCATTATTTGCGTTAACCCTAACCCGTTTGTCCGGTAGCAGATGCACGCCGAGGGAGATAAGGGGGAAGCTGTCGATGTCTACAAGCTGCTCCTCGAGTTTTCGGTATCGCCAAAATCCTTGCTCAGCTGGCAACATGAAGCTCCATCGCTTCAATACTGGATGTTCCGCACGGCACTGTGGGCATCGCGCATAACCCTTCAACCTTGTGTCTGGCTGATCAAGCAAGGTCTCGAAGCACGTAATGCACATATGATGGCCCTTCTCTTTATCGCAAGACAAGATCACGGGCCTGTCTTTGTCATCGTAATCGTCTCCACAACCGAAGCAGGTTTTGTCATCCTTTGGCAATGCACTGGGACTCGAGGGCTTGAACTTCTCAACGTCAGGCCGCCTCGCCCATTTGTACCACGGCGGCCGTAACCCGAGCGCCTCTATCCTCTGCCTGACGCACAAGCATGCGCGGTCAGTGTTACCCTTGAAGAGGTCGTCCAGCCGGCGCCACCAGTGGTCATGCTCTGGGGCATTTGACGGCTTCAGCTTACTCCAATCCGCCAGCGGGATCTTGTAGAGCGCCGAGTCTTCTTTGCTCGTCTTGTTGTCCAGCCGGATGAGCGTTTTCCGCTGTATGACGATCCACAGCAATCCCGCTTTGCCGATGGCAAAGATACCAGCTTCAAGAACAGTATTTCCAACGAATCGTGTGGCTCTGCACATTGCTATGTCGAGAGGCTCGGGACTGGTGCCGCTTGCGATCGCTTTGGTGGCGTATTCGGCGGCGCTGGGAAGTGGGTGGCGCGTTGGGGAGATGGTGATGAATATAGTATCCATGTCGGCCTCGCCTTGGGGACGGCGGCGATTCTCGTGGTTTACAGGAGGAAGAAAACGGAGATAGTTGGCCTTCTTCCCTAGATGCGAAGGATAGATGTATTTAGTCATATGGTGGCGTTGGGCGACGGTCCCGCCTCTTTGGAAGTTGCATCGCGACATTCTCTCCCTATCTGTGCCTATCTAGCGTTCAACATCAAGGGGTGGTGTCGGACACGGGAATCAGGCATTGCGGGAAAGGGGGTGGAGAGAATATATCTTTGAGTCCGCAGAGCATGTTGTGTGTGAGCTGTACAGTCATTGTTAGCCAGCGCAGAGCTTGAGAAGGTGTCATGTATACTTCAGTATCCCGAATCACGCATACATCGGTATGTCATGGCTTTATCATTGCGAGAGAGGCCACCATGGCATGACGCAACGCCGTCTCTGTGAAATGTGAAGCAGAAGGCCTAGGTTCGGCTCGTCTACTAGAGGACGTGTTCACTTTATTGGATGTTTTAGATGAGCAGACACAGTCTCCGATGCCGGACGTTACAGGGTGATGGGACGTAACAGTGCATAGTTGTGAATAGTATTAAGACGACTGAGGTCCTCGTGACAGTCAGCGAAGGTCACACGATGTCAGGCGAAGGATACATACCAAAATCAACTACTATAGAAGGAAAACAGTCCCATGTGATTAGCTGCGTAAAATAGCAACGTACTTTTTAGTACAGGGTCGAGTACAAGGGTATTGTATGTAGATGCACGCGTGCGGAGCGTGGGCAACGCGTCACATTTTCCGCTGTAGATGCTTGCCGGTAGGCAACTGGATTTTCAGAAGGGCCTTTCATCATCCTTCAACATCATGGCGAGGTTACAGATATAGAGAGACGCGCGTAATCATATGCGGCACCATGTGGAAGCCCCGGAGCCAGGAATCAAAGCGCCAAGGCCTAGCCTCGCGGTATCTCTCCTGGATTACCACTGCTATGTTGGATCTGCTGGCTCAATTCGAGCTTTGCAACACTGAAATTAGATGGGCTGATGCTTTGGAGCTTTCGACGTTGTGATGTGAGTGTGTTGTTTGAAGGTTGAGGGGTTGCGGTTGAAGGATTCAGGCGACAGGCGAATGACGAAGGCTGCACGTACACCGCCAAAATTGATTCGACGCCATATTCTTTGTACCACGACCTCTATCCATTGACACTGCAGGAAAAAGTTGTAGATACCTAATACCTGAAGCCTATGCCTACAAATTCTTGCCATTCAGTTGTGTTTGGTGGTGCTAGAGAACGAGAGAGTCTTGAAGGTTGATAGAAGCTAGGACTTAATAGGTTAGCAGTACCCTTGTACACGCACAAAGAATTCCAGCAAATCATGGGCCCACAATTTGCGTTTTGGATTGAAGGCGTGTAGGCTCCAAGTGCTATGCAACATATTCATCTTAATTTCCGATTTTGGTCAAAAAGCCCGGCTGGCACAATTGGCTAGCGCGTGAGACTTTTATTCACTTAAGAGATCTCAAGGTTGAGAGTTCGAGCCTCTCGTCGGGCGTTTTTACTTTTGTTTTGCCACCCTCCTATGAGTAGGGCTTAGCTTTTGCGTCATATGGAAGCGGAGGGGTGATATTGAGGCCTGCAGGCTTTGTGAGTGGCGGTTTCTTTTGGGTGATTGCCTGCACTACCGCAATAGCGACAGGAACATCTGCACCCAGTACTTTACTTTCTGAGATGACTATAGCAATAACATGAAGACAGAATTAAGTCGATCTGTTCAGTGCCAATTTGCGACGTTTTAGCCTACTCAAGTGTTGAGCTCTCGAAATCAATAGGGCCCCTTTACACTCGTATCTAAGGGAAAAATTGAGTGTTTGCATTTCGCGGTTCCCTATTTGATGTAATGTTATATCCTCCTACAACGGCCAAGCTGACGATAAAGCCCCACGTTTCAACCTTCATGCATGATTCCTGATTCCCTCCTCCGTAACCAAGCCCCTTCATGCTTTGACCCACCCCAGCCTAAAGATGCTCATGAAAAAACGTCATGACAGTAGCATAACCCCTCTCATAATCCGCCTTCCCCTTCACATCGCTCAAGTCCCCACGACTAGTCATCCACCCATGCGGCGCCCCTTCAAACCTCTCCACAAGCTTCGGCACCGTCAGCGCTTCTCCAAACGCCTTCACAGCATCCGCATCTTCATCCTCAGACGCTAGCATGCAGAGCGGAACGGTGATGTTGGGCGCATCAGCCGTATCAAGGCCGGAGGGGTGGAGCTCGACGCCAGCCGCGAAGGGGGTGCCCGCGGCACACGAGAGGGATACGATCTGTCATTAAATCAACGTCAGGGCAATCCCAAGCCGCAAGTGAAGGAGGGTAGGAAGGAGACTCGCCTTGGCACCCCAGCAATATCCAACAACGCCCAGCGTGTTCACAGTGTCGGCCGTCTTGATCGCTTTGACTACACCCATCAACGACGCCAACATGGTTGCAGCATTGCCAGGCCCCTGAGGGCCGAAGTAAGTACCCATAGCTGTGCGCTTCTCGGGGGTGTCGGGGGGGAACCATGCCGGGTTGGCGAGGTTCCCGGCGAGGAAGTCGGGGATGAGGACGCGATAGGGGTGCTTAGAGGGGTGGGCGAGGAGATCGGCGCCCTTGGAGGTGTATGGTCAGCATCACTAGGGAGACGACATTGTGTTGGGAGGGACGAAGGATATCTGGGGTGCATACCTGGAGGATCTGAGGCCCGAAGCCGAAGACGTCGTAGATGAGGATGATGACGATTGAGGCGTCTTCGGGCCCAGTGGCATCTAGGTCTCTCGTCAGGATTCTTATGATAAAACGAGTAAGGCGAGAAGAAGGATATCGTCAACGCACAAGTTTTCAGTCCATCGATCTCAATGAACTTGCCCTTCTCCGTATAGTCGGCTGAGACGGGCGGGATCGTGCAGCATGCCTACCCCGCTTCAGTGATGAACGGGCCCAAGGGCCCTAGGCTAAGGTTACTCACTTCGCTGTGTGCTGGTTGAGCCATGGTGTGGTTGTTTTCCGAGGGTTGAGATGGACTAGTATTCGAAGTGATGATGTGGGACCGAGGTGACGCTGCTTTGGTCCCTTTTATGATCATCTTTGAGCTCTCAGCCCCCAACTGGACACGTATGTTCCAGCGCCCAAGCACACCGGGTATCAGGATAGATGCGCCCGACACTCACCTCGCTGTGGAGTACGCAGAGACCATTGGATAGCCACCAACCCTCCTTGCAGCCCGCTAAGGGGCCGCATCTCCAACATCACTTACATAAAGCAACCCGTATGGCTTTGTAATAGCACTGTGCAGCTCAACTAGCATACCATCTATGCTTGACCTAACTCCCCAAAGCTTCCTAAACGGTCTTGATTCGTTCGAAGGTGATTGTTGTGGCGTAGGCCACTCCAAGCAGTGAGTCGGAGCTGCGGGACAGAAACACCGATGTGAACGATTGACACGATTTGTAATAAAGAACCCTTGATATTATGGTGGCAAACACGTATACGGGCTTCTGGGTTCAGCTGAGGAGCCTTGCTGTCAAGATGTATAGAGATTCAAGGTGCCACGCGTAGGTGGTGCTTTCACCCAAGCCCTGCATCTCACTTCTTGGCGTCGCTTGATTGGTCAACCGTATGTGCCGCGTGGAAGCCACATTACTTTCTCTTATCTGCCTCGTATGTCATTCTCTAGCATGCGGATAGTCTCTTTGGAAACCGGCTTTCTTCGGGGGTCTCTCGTAGCTCCACGTTTGCCTAACTATCAGTGTGCCTCAAGCAGCTCAATCCCTTTCGCCTTCGCCAGATTCTTAAACCGCTCTAGCGGCGTAACCATGAATGGGATATCCGCCCATGCCGTAAGCGCCTCGTAGACCATGGAGATAGCGGCCGGGATCTCATCCAGCAGTGTGCCGCAAATCGAACTTGGATATACCAAAAGCAGTACCATCGCCACAGCGCAAGTGCTGCGTAAAGTAGTATGTGAAACAATAGTCTTGTGCAAAAGCGTGCCTTCCACAGTACGGAGATGTAAGATGCAGATCATCAAGCACTCTTTAGCTTGAGCTTCGACCTCTGGGTCCACGGCATGCCCGCGGGAAAAGCCGGGGGAGGTTGCCGAGTGGTGACTAGTCTCCAGCATCCGAAGGAGGAAAGGCCATGATATTGTAGCGATAAGCCCGAAGTACTGGGTGCGTAGATGTGCTTTGTGTGGATCGAATACTCTCGATGTGTCGATCGGGAACTTGAGCGAAGGCGGCAGGTGGTTGTACCACGATTGGAGCTGCGACCGCAACTCGAGTGCTACGAGCGGGGCGTATATGGCAGATCCAGACTCAAATCCCACGGTCTCCACGGCATCAGTCAGGAGCCGGCGGAGAGTGGCTATGGCCAGGAAATAATACAGGCCACTGCCTTGTCCCAGATCAGTGACGCAAGAGGCACCAGACGGCAGGGGAACCTCCGCCTGGAATGCTCGAAGCCCGGTTGGCTGAAGCTCTAGGCAGATCTCTAGCTCGTTTTCCAGCACATAGCAAGCCCAGTACACTCGTGCGACTTGGTTCTGGAAGGTCTCGTCTCGACTACGCCATGCAGTCTTTAAAAGCAACATACAGTCTCGTGATGCTGTAGAAATACAAGACCAAGCTCGCAGCGGCCGCATTGATGAAAGCATATAACCAGCCTGTAGAATCCGGCATATGATACGCTCGATACCAGAGTCATCTAGTGACCATTGTGGTTGCTCCAATATGAATGTTGCATGGTTGAACCACTGCTCTTCTTCTTTCTCATCAGATTCTCCATCATAAAGTATATCTTTCTTCTCGAGCACTGAAGCTATCGCATAGCTGAAAAGCGTGATGCACGTCATAGAGTCTGTGTTCTGAAATATATGCGCTTCTGCGTATCTTGCATATGAAGAATAGGTCTCCGTATCTAACAGCGGCATCCATGATAGGTAATCCGAAGCGAAGATGTATTGAAGAGTCCGTTGCCGTCTTGCGGAGATGTGAAGCGAGTCTAAGCGCGCGAATGTAGGACTCCCGTGATCACGCGTTCCGTTTTCCAACGATAGCTGCGATTCAAAGAATTTAGCGGTGTCATTGTAAGTAAATGATCCCAGAGAAGTAGGTCCATTGAAAGTGAGAAGCGTGGGCATCCGATGGTCGAGCTGTTGTCCATACGGATTCGACCGACGGGGGTGAGTCATTTGAGATAGCGGTGGCAAGGTCGGTTTCACATTCGATTGACTGCCCGCATGGCGGTTTCCAGTCTCAGAAGGCTGTGAGATCCGAGCTATAGAGGCAGCGGTATGAGAGCTTGCAATCGTTTCCGGAGGCGAAAACGCTGCTGCGTGATCTTGTTCCTCGGCCTTTGAGAGAAGTCTGCCAAAATTGGCCAGGAGAGTCTGCAGGGAGCCTTCCACGCTTTCTAGACGACCTTCGAGACGAGTGAGGACGTCTTTGGTCGCGCTGAGTGGCTCTCTGGACATTTGAGATTAGAGTACATCCCTCACAGGCAGAGTCAAAAAAGGAGGGAGACTTGTAAGAAGCAGCCTAAAACAGCCAATTTTTTTTTATCACAACACGTACCTATCCCAAAGGTTCGGCTTCCTATAGTTACAGGTGATTCCATTATTAATGCAATAGGAGCACGTGGGTTTCTTCGCATCACACCTTGTTCGCCGTGAGCGGCATACTTCACACTTGAGGGTACCCCGGGTCAGTAATAAATATCGTTTGTGCTTGGTGGTCTTACTGCAATGGAGACGCGTTTTCGAGGGTAGTCCACGCCTTTGCTCCTTTGTTCTGCGGGTGGTGAAGCCGTGTTGTTATGCCGATTCTCTGCGGAAGCATTGTTCATATCATCAAAGGATCTCCTTTCTGCCATGTTCTTAGCTGTGCAAATCTAAGAATGAGATTTTTTGGTGGAGACGGCGTGTCGAACTCCGCGTTCATGAGTCCGGGGTATTTCCCCACATCCGCTTTTAGCTTGGGGTGATGCACGATCGCTTTGAGTAGTGTTTGCGACCGGGATCGCTTTTCCGTGGTCCTCTGGGGGATTGAAGTATATATGTGTTGATCATTGGCATAACGATACCCTTTGTACCCAGGAGTCTTTCTGTCAATCATAAAACTTCTACCAACCCTCCTTAACACAATGCCGGGCGAAAAGCAAAGGTACATCAAGCTGCAAGTGTATGTGCAGAAGAAGGACGGAATATCTGATGAGGAGTTCCACAAGCATTGGGCTAATATCCATGGCGATGAATGCAAGAAGGTGAGTCTTGGAAGTAGCGCCCTTTGAAGATTTATGGATGACTGACAACCAAATGAAGATACCGGAGTTCAACAAATATGTCAAACGATATCAACAGTTTCACCAGACACCAGAGGATCGCGAATTAGCGAAGACAGTTCTTGGAGACGAAACTCTGCCTTATGACGGGTGTGCAGAGTTCTGGATAGAGAACCTCGAGGACTTCAAGAAGTTCCGCAGTTGTCCGGGTTTCAAGACGATAGCCATGGCTGATGCTGCGCATTTCATCGGTGCAGCGCCAGTTTGCATGGTTGGCTATGAGTGGCTTCAACATGGTCCATCGACGTTCTAAGTTTTCAAGGTATGGTGACGGTGAGCCTATGGGGAATGTCTTGGGACAGATAGCGTACGTCCAATTAGCCGTACAATTCATCCAGCTTGATGCCAAACACTCTCGGAATCTGTTTTGTCTAGAGCACTGCGTTGATGTTCGTTTGATACGAAGTGATACATGGAAGCACTCACCCCTCCAACCATAGGAGGGATGTTAGGAGGTGGCGGATGGCTTCATTGAGATCTTGGATATTTGCGCATGATCGGAACGAGGGGCGTAGAGAACGTTCATTAAGCACAAGACACGCCTTTGGAACGAATTCAAGGTCGCAAACATGCTTGCATGAGATTTGAATTGATAGAAAGTAGCTATGGGTGAGCGTGGAGAATGAGGGTAGGGGCGGGCGTGGCTCGATGCCAAGAGCACAGACGTTCGAAACGACTGCGGAGGAGAGAGGCAGCTTGACCATCACCAACACTACAGCAAACGAAAATGGCATCCTCAAGACGATGCAGCTCTTGTAATCTCCGCTATCAAACTCCAGTAGCCCTCAGGCGATGCAGGCGAGGCTTCTGTGGTATAGCGAGGATACTGTCACCCCAGGCACAGCTCGTCACTCTTCGTCATGCTCCGAGGGACTTCTGCACCATTTCGGAAGAGAGTCGTCCCAATTCATCCTTACTGATCTAATTAATTACCATGTAGCCTCTAGCTGATGGCAGGGCTCTGGTACTGATGATCGCAGTTTACTTATCTACAGTGGTTCCATCTCGTCCGAGCAAACCACGATACCCTCCCTACCTCACATTCTGCACCTGTCCCTACGATGTTTCCGAAGAGACAGCCTTCGACATGTCTTCAAGCAACACTACAGCTGCGTAGTCTCAGTCGGCGCAACCTCTGTCGACCGGAAGAGGCCTCTCGACAGCGTGACGTCAAGCCTCGTCACCAAACATTTTCCACGCCTTCCATATATTCGCCGTCATTGACCTCCAGCACCTCACCCACGCACCAGAGACGGCTCCTTCGACCACACCCCAACGTCCTCTCCATCACCCAAGCAAACTACTCCACAATGTCGAACAATCCCGATTTCCAGCTCGCCGAAGTGTTCAGCGTCAAGGGCAAGGTGGCCCTTGTCACGGGCGGTGGCTCTGGCATCGGACTGATGTGCACCCAAGCTCTCGCTGTCAATGGCGCAAAGGTGTATATCGTCGGCCGGACAGAGGAGAAGCTGGATAGGGTCGCACAGGTTCATGGCAAAGATATTGCAGGAGAAATCATTCCCATCGTGGGCGATGTCACGGACAAGGACGGCGTCAGGTAAAGACACTTCGTTAGTCCTTGAATAGCGGGCACAATCTTACCATAACCTCAGGAAGCTTGTCGAGGAAATTGAGAAGCGGGAGAAATGCCTCTGCATCCTGGTCAACAATGCTGGCATCGCTGCCGAGAAAACCAAGGTTGACGGCGAGATGAGCGCTGAGGAGGTCCGCAAGAACCTCTTCGATCCCACTACGTAAGCACTTACCTCCATCTTTCGGCTTTGTTGACAATATCCCAGAGTCGAGGAGTGGACTTCTCTCTACGCAACCAACGTAGTCGGCCCATACTTGATGACTACCGCCTTCCTCCCGCTGCTCCAAAAGTCCACCGACCTACACAAGGGGTACTCTGGCTGTGTCATCAACATCACAAGCATCTCCGGCCTCGTCCGCATCTCTCAAGGCCATTTCTCCTACAACACGAGCAAGGGCGCCGAGATCCACCTCAATAAGATGCTCGCCACCGAAATCGCGAAGGCTGGTGTCAAGGTTCGCATCAACAGCATCGCTCCTGGCGTGTTCCCAAGCGAGATGACAACGCAAGAGAGCAAGGATAACCAGAAGAGCGAGATGCCAAAGGAGCATAAAGAGGGACTGCCTTCTCAGCGACCGGGCAATGACCGAGACATGGCAGCTGCTATTCTCTTCGCTGCGAGCTGCCAATACCTCAACGGCCAGACTATCCCCGTTGATGGTGGTTATCTGATTCAGGTGGGACAGTAAGCGGAGTTGACCAGTTGCCCTGGACAGTACGTGGATGTTAGCCAGGTGCACTTGCCAACATGGGGCATGGTGGACCGAAATGACTTTCTTGCTCTCTCATAGGGATACTGGGTTAAAAGCTATGTAAGGCGCTCACTAGGTCTGCAAATTCACAGAATGAGCTGTACCATGCTCTTTAATTGGAAGTCTTTTGCATTTAGTGCATGTGGCCAACGCACTGCCGTCTCTAAATTTTGAAACGCGACGACGGCAGTTATATTTTGAGTCTGTCACGTGATGCTATTATTTACATAAGTTGGAAAGTGTAGCCGAAGCCTCTCGGCGGCTTCTGTGCCCTAGAATCCTTCGAATCCTTCCATGGGCAAAAGAAAATCCAGGAGACGTCGATGACTGGTCCCCTCTGATTGGTTTTCCAAACAGATCTATCTCGCTTCTGACCCCACAATCAGCTCCAGGTCTGTTGCAGATGTAGGAAGCTCAGACACTGTTATCACAGTCGTAGCGTGCCTTCATCGGCAGTCCAAGCCCTGATGGGTGTCATGTACGAGTAGGAAACCCCGGAGCCTGCCCCTGATGCACTTTTAGCGTACCGGCGACTCGGGATCGTCCGTCCCGTGCTGACGGAATTGGGAACCGATGCTCCCATCACTCGGGCAGAGTCGACTTTCTCCTCTTCGCTACACAATTATGTCAATATAAAACTGAACAGAATCCGACGTGCAAATGAGCCTTCCATTGGGCTCCGCGTTCGGACTGCTCAAGCCGCAGATGCGGGGCGATAAAGGATCATCTTCGTTCTTGACGCTTCGTTTCGGCCTGTGCATGGGCGTCATATCGACTTGGTCTCGGCCTCCCTGTGGCGCAACACGGCAACAGTTGCACCTCAGCTTGTCCCGACGACGACGCCCTCCCTTTGTGCTTAACTTCAGCACACCCAAGATACCTACCGCCACCGCAGGCCTATGGCCAAGGATCCTAAGCTCTCCCGCCCAGATTTCCTCGCCTCTTCTCCTGTCGGCTTCGCAAATGCAGTTTGATGGACTAGGAACGCCCCTCTGAACGCCCTCGTCCATGTTGCCACGCTCATGGGATTCCTGATGCGCGGACAGCCCATGGCCTCCATGGAGGCTCCCGACGATCTTCAGTTGCTTACGACATTCTTGGATCATGATGAAAGACCTACCGTGGTCGTCACTCGATCTCTCGAACAAGCCGGCGGTGTCGTTTGCCCTGCAATTGCGTACTACAATGAAGCGTTCCGTAGCTATTCTAGTATTGACTCCTCCGAGGACATCAATACTGCAACCTTGGATTCCGGATTGAGAGAACTGGCCACCGACCCAGCTACCTGGGACTCTATCAAAGAAGGCGTAACTAGCGAGATTCTGTTCGACGGTAACGCATGGACAAGGCGCATCATAGGCCAACGATGGGGAATCATCTGCCTCAAACGCACTTCAAACGGCCATATTGTTCACAGTGTCACCGAAGATGGCGGATTTGCAAGGCCCCCCAAACGACGTCGTCTCTCATCGAACAGCCATATCGCCGCTTTAACGTCTCATCGCCACCTTCATGAACTTCCCGGTCCCGATTATCTACCGTCGCCTGAGTCTACTACAGAGCCATCAGATGCACCAGCGCCTGCCCTGTTGGATTGGACGCGGTCTTCACACGATGGTCTATCCGACTACATCCGAATGTTGCAGAAGCATGACTGGTCCAAAACCTGCTTAGGACCCATGGAATCTTGGAGCCAGGAGCTGCGAGCCAACATGTTTTTGATTATGAACAGTCCAGAGCAGAGAGTCTTGCTGTGGGGACCGGACCTTGCCCTCATTTACAACGAGGCATGTTCCTACGGCATGGGGAAAAAGCACCCTTCCGCCTTGGGTCTGTCGGGTGCTGTCGGTTTCGCTGAAGGGTGGCCTCCTCTTCTTCGCAACATCAAAGAAGTCATGCAAACTGGCAGGATAAAGCAGGTCAACGACCACTATCTGCCAATAGGAAGAAGCGGCCTCTCACCAGAAGAAACGTACTTTTCGTATACGCTTCTTCCGCTAATAGATGAAAACGGTAACGCGATAGGAGTACTCAAAGAACTTACCGAAACGACACGACGTATCATCTCGGAAAGACGACAAGCTACTGTAAAGAAAGCTGAACAAATGGCTGTCGCACGAAATATTACCGAGTTCTGGAGCAAGGTGCGGCACATATTGGACTCCAATGCGCAGGATTTCCCATTCGCTCTCCTTTACTCCTTCACCGAAAAAACTACGCTAGTAGATGGCAATAGCTCTAAAAAGGTATCGAAGTATTGCACCCTAGAAGGTGCTGTAGGCATCACGACGGATCACGATGTGGCCAGCCCACGTATAGAAGTACGCAAAGAAGGTCAAGGCCTCGAGTCGGACTTTGAGAGGGCACTTTTGACTGGAAGTCCGGTTCTGCTACGCAAGAGTGATGGCTCTCTTCCTGATTCTCTGGCCATTAGAATCCTTGGTCGAGGTCTTGGTGGAACATGCACCTCTGCCTTGGTATATCCAATTCGCCGGTTGGATGGCACCGGTGCCATCGGATTCCTGTTGCTTGGGCTAAATTCGCAAAGACCTTTTGACGATGATTACAGTGTCTTTATCAGTATGGTCATTGATCATCTTGTTCGGGCAGCTGCTTCGATCATCGTCCCGGAGGAGCAGAAAACTCTTCTTCGTCGGACTGAAATAGCAGAGAGCAAGGAGCGGACCTTCACCAGGTTAGCCGAGATAGCTCCTATAGGCATAGCCCAATTCACACCCGAATGCACATCTATCTGGAGGAACGATGCGTACGACTACTTGAGCGGAATGACGGGGCGTCGCATGTCGGAGGCCTACGACGGATGGGATGCTCCAATACATCCAGATGACCGACCGAAGAGTTACGCGACATTCCAAACGTTGCTGGAAAAGCCTCGTTCAATCACCTTGGAGCTTCGCGTTCATCGGACAGAAGCCGACGGAAATGGTCTAGATCAATGGCGCTGGCTGTTATGGCATGGCTCTTCAGAAGCGAACGAGCACGGCAATCTTGCGGTTATAACCAGCTTCATTACTGATATTTCAGATCAAAAGAGGGTGGAGAAATTGCAGACGCAGAGGCTTGAGGATTTACTTGAGACGAAGAGGCAGAGTGAAAACTTCATTGATATGGTAAAAGCCAATCTCATCCTTTCAGCTTCAAACGAAATGCTAATCACATCGATAGACTTGCCACGAGATGCGTAATCCTCTTTCAGCAATGATACAGTCCGCCGACGGTATAATTTCAGCTTTCGATACATCTAATACATCGACTCCGACTTCCACGCAGAGCGCAGTCATAGAGGCCGCTCAAACAATCATCCTCTGTGCTCAACATCAGAAGAGGATCGTTGACGATATCTTGACGCTATCGAAGCTGGATTCCAACTTGCTCTTGATATGCCCCGACCGCGTTCACCCTATTTCCCTCGTCGAAAACATCATCCAGATGTATCGTGCAGACCTACACAGCGTGGATGTCACAGCATCGCTCTCGATCAATCAGTCCTTCAAAGATCTTGCTATCGGCAAGGTCCTGCTGGATCCCGCGCGTTTGTCGCAAGTGCTGATAAACCTCCTCACAAACGCCATCAAATTCACGTCTAATGCGACGGAGCGAAAGATCACAATTAACATTGGTGCATCTCTTACGCAACCAACTTCTGGGCCGACCGACGTTTCGTACATCCCGAGAGTAGCTCATCGACTGTGCTCACATCCTGAAGGAGGCGATTGGGGGACCGGGGATGAAGTCTTCCTACAGGTAGGTCCAAACTCAGACGATTAGTTCCTATATATCTACACAATGCTAACCTGTCCCCCAGTTCGACGTCGTGGACACCGGCCGAGGCCTAACCCCAGAAGAAATGAAACTCCTCTTCCTCCGCTTCTCCCAAGCCTCACCAAAAACCTACGCCCAATACGGCGGGTCCGGACTCGGCCTTTTCATTTCCAGAGAGCTTACCGAGCTCCAAGGTGGTCAAATAGGCGTGAACTCTGTGTCAGGCCAAGGAAGCACCTTCACCTTCTACATCAAGGCCCGGCGATACGTCCCACCCACCATGACGCTACCAAAATTCTCTGACTCACTCAGGGACTCAGAGCTTGCTGCCAGCGACAACCTGCCAGCTACGCCGCCAATTCTATCCGCTTTGAATAATAGGACTGGCTCCGTATTATTCAATATCCTCCTCGTTGAAGATAATGTCATCAATCAGAAAGTGCTTGCGCAATACCTCATCCGCGAGGGGTGCAAAGTCCACGTCGCGAATCACGGAGCGGAGGCGTTGGACTTCTTAGCACGAACATCCTATATTACTTCGTCATCCAATCAAGCCTCCCAGCATCCACAGCCATTGCCTCTCGACATCATCCTCATGGATCTCGAAATGCCCTACATGGACGGCTTGACATGTGTCCGCCGGATCCGCGAGATGCAGCGCGAGGGCACGATAAACGCCCATATCCCTGTCATTGCGATCACCGCAAACGCGAGGAAGGAGCAGATTGCTAATGCGTTGGAGCATGGCATGGTGAGTAGCCCATTCCTCATTACTCTTCACAATATGTGTCAAACTTCGCCTTTGTCTCAAATGCTAATATGTTATAGGATGACGTCGTCACAAAACCTTTTCGTATACCAGAGTTGATACCGAAGATCGCGGACCTGGTGCGGCGGATTAATGCCACATGAGTATTGGGTAGGGTAGCCGAATCAACGATCGTTTGAGCGCGCATATCAGCGTGCTTTTTTCTTTCCAGTCGCTTTTGCCTATGAGCATGTGTGATGAGTTGACTATTGTGTGGGCATAATTCCCAAGTCTATATTAGGCTCGGGACTTGAGACATTTGGCATGCTAAATGGAGAATTGCACTGTTGAATGTCGAGACAGAGTTCAGATAAAAGCGTGACCGGGAGTAGATCGGGTGAGGCTGAATGAAGGCAACAAGGCAACAAGGCAATGTGGTAGTGATCTGCCAGCCACTCGAGTCCCAGGTCTTGTCGGAATATGGAGACCTAGATGCTTACAATTGGGCCACTGAGCAGGGGTGTTTCTCAGCCTTGCTAAGTGCCAGTCTTTGAATGGGCCAATCATCTTGAGCCATGTCAACTTCCAATGCATACAATCATTCAGCTGCAAGCAGACGCCGCGCCACCAACCATTGAGAATAATATGATTGGGCTAGCTTCAAAATATCACCAAAATCAGGACCCCTCTGCGGCTGAAGTTTCTATTCTTGTGCAGTCGCGGATTATGCTGGTGATTTGGATGGATAGAGTTCGTAGCCAACCATCTACATTAAAGGAGCACATGGGCCCAACACCAACACCAACGTCACTTTTCAAGCCTCCCTAACCTCACCTTCAACCCTGGAATACTACCTGCCACCTATCAAATCACATCTTTTCCCATACTTGCTGGGCTTCCTTATCCATCTAGTCTACAGGTCCTTCGGCTTGGAACAATATACTCATAGGAATCTAGGATCATGGCCGATCCACCAATACCGGACCCAGATGAGATCTTTGGAAACAGAGAGCAATCAAGAGGCGCACTGATCGTTCACCGTCGCATCATCCTTTGTTGTGATGGCACTTGGAATGACAGAGAGACGAACGACCCATTCACCAACGTGACTAAATTCATCAGCTGTCTGGATTCCGTCGATGATCGGGGGAAAGAGCGGCAGTATGAGCAAATACCCATCTACCTAGACGGTATTGGTACTGGAACAACGCTCTCTGGAAGTCTTTACGAGGGCGCAACCGGCAAAAGTAAGAGCTAGCCGCTTTGGTTCTCTCGAGTATGTACATAATGCTGACAGCGGAAAGGTATTTCGCGAAAACTCCGGGAAGCTTACAAGAACCTCTGCGCGCTATGCGTCGACGAAGAGGATCAAATTGTCCTGATTGGATTCTCCAGAGGAGCCTACACGGTGCAATGCCTTGCTCGACTACTCTACGATGTTGGCTTGATCGAGAACTCTTGGGTGAATAGGGAGCTGCCGAAAGTATTCGACCTCTGGTGCAACACCCGTGCAGGATCTAAAAATGACGAGCTGCTGAAGTGTTGCCAAAACCTGCAAGATCTGAACAGACTGCGCAAACCTAAGGACGGGATTAGGATCAAATTGTACGGAGTATAGGATACAGTTGGATCGTTGAAGTCGTCTCTAATTGGCGAATCTTTGAAGTCCTCCCTAATTAGCGGATACCAGAAGCCATTCAGCTTTGTCGGGGATCAACTGCCGCCAAATGTCGAACAAGCATATCATGCACTCGCCTTGGACGAAAAACGGAAGGACTTCAAGCCAACACTCCTCACAAGCATTCGCAAGAACCAGCTCAGGCAGTGTTGGTTTCTGGGAAGCCACGGAGACGTAGGCGGCGGCAATGTCAATTCTGGACTTTCAAAAATTTCCTTCTGCTGGATGATCAGCCGACTCGAGGCCGGAGTTCGGTTCAAAGAACTCGCAATCTGGAACGATACCGCCGAAGGCGCCCCGTTGAAAACTATTCCTTCTCGCCACCACACCGGCGTTAAAAATATCATCGGGGCAGAGAAGTATAACTCCTTTGCTGGCTGGCGGCTCCGGGGCAAACACATCCGGCAGGTCGGCAAGAGCGGGATCAAAGGCAAGGATAACCCTTATGGCAACAGCAATGAGACTATCCATTACACGGTCCGTTATTTCGACGAGATTGCCGATCCGAATACCAGAACCCTACCTGAACCACTGAAGACTCGAAAGTTCCAGTACTCGCAATTTAATAAGAACCTTCCGGACACCGTGCCCTGGAAATGGGAAGGCACCGTTGACGGACAGCCAACAATGGTTAGAGAAGACCGCGGAAGTGACTACGAGCGGGGAATGTTGCAGAGGTGGATAGATGATGATCCGACAGCTTGGGGTGCACTGGCTTCAGCTTTGAAAGATTTGAAGTCAATTACGTTCAATGGTCCCATTACAATACCACTCAGTCCTACTCCAGGCGTGGTCCCGCTCGGAGCAATTGCATAGGGGGCCTAGAACAGATAGCAAATAATCTCCGAGCTGCTAGGTACCCGTTGTGTTTTCCAAGTTTGCTTGATTGATAGCTAGTGGGAGGATGGGCCCCTAGGTCTGGGTGTACTACAGCTATCGTCATTTCTATATTTACCCTTTTTGTATTACTCCACATAGTAGGCAAAACGTCATATTTTTCAAGGCCACGTGAGAATTCCGAGCGGCGTATGAAGTTTTATATGCCGCAGGTTAGACAAACGGCCAAATCCTTGTGATTGGCTGCACGAGTGCGGCTTCAGGAATTTGCCTGCCTTGTGGGCGAAGAGCGATGGAAAAGGGAGGCCTCAAAACAAGGTCGACAATCTCGTCATTAAAAAGCCCAGCCTCAATTTGAGAAGACAGCATAAACGATGCTTGATTTGTTACCTATCCAAGCCCAACTTCCTCCATAGCAAATTCCCAGAGTTCTCCGCAATTTCATTAAGTAAGGAAAAGGCCTGAAAGGACAGTAAGACAGATCAATATTCAACAGCAATCGGCACTCTTCACCCCGTGTACTCGGTGAACCACTTCTTGCTGGTCCCATTCCAGAAAGCAACATAAGGCTTGCCCCCCTGGGCACCATCCTTGTAGTAGTACACCTTGATGGAATCCGAGTTCACGCTCAAGAACGCGGTGATGGGGCTGTGCTTCTTGACAATGACGCCAAGGTCTTTTCCCAGCTGGCCGACTTTCCAGTCCTCTGAGCCTTCCTTCTGGAGCTCCTGCAAGGTGCTGTTGGTGTCGATGTAATACAATCGAGACTATCATGGAGTTCAGCATCCAAGGCCGGCCGCGCATGAGGAAGTAAGGAGGACGTACCCTAGTGAAGTTGGCACCTGCCAGTGGGAACGAGATAGCGGCAATGTCCCTAGTAAGGGACTTCACGTTCTGGCCGCCGAGCGTCAGAATGTTATCGTCGTAAGCTACTCGGCCTTGAGTCGCGAGCGGCTCCACATCCGAATTGATTTTGTTTTGAAGGGTGTGCAGGAAGCCGTGCTCGTCGGTGTAGAAGATCGTGCTTTTGCCGTCCACAATGCACCCGGATATGACAGCCGACCTCGGGTCCGTAGACTAGAAGACACATCAGTGCTGTGAGCGTGGCAGTTTATGGTGCTTTTACCTTGGTCGCACCAGGGGTTGTCGTGGTGGGGTCTGGCATGGTGCTGGGAGGTTTGCTTGATGAGTTTGGTGGTCTGCTAGTGAAGATGCGGTTGTGGATGGTAGAAGATGATGTTGGGCTGTGGACACAGCAAGACTTTATACCTTGGACAGAGAAGGAAGTTCAAGTTGGAAGCAGAGAAAGATGTTTAGCTCGATAACGAGCTGAACCGAGCTGAAATGAGCCGACAGCACGTGGTTTGATAGAAAGACTCTCTATGGCGGATGTGGTAGCACGATGCATGCAGTGGAGATGCTAGAAAAAGGAACGCTTGCATTGAGGTGTCTCGTGTGAGGGTCCAGATTGCAAAGCGAGCGCCAGCCCAAACCATGAGGCTTTCTGCATGAAACCCAGAACGAATACTGGTGTACTCTTGCACGTCAAACATGGTTGGCTGAACATAGGTGTATGCTGCATGGTCACGCAAGAAGTACGTTATGAAGTCGTATTCTGATGCAGCCTGTGGCTATCAGTCACACTCTATCCACCCTCTTATCCTTAACACGATAGCATCGGCTTAGTTGCGGGGTTGGCAAGTACGCATGCGAAAGGCGAAGCGATGAGTGCGTAAGCTTCTATGCCCCTTTTGCTCGACTTTTTTTCTTTCTGTGTGTAACGGCCACGGATTCACCTAGCTTTTATTCTTAACCTTAGATGGGCTAGTTTGCATATACGACTGAAGGTGGTACGTGCGTATGGAATTTTGGAACTGCCATGGACTTTGGGATTTCCACTAGGGGCTTCCGCATGGGACTTCCACTGGGGGCTTCGGCATGGGCTTCCTGCATGGTTAATCCAGAAGCCTTTTGGTGGAATAAGCGAGATCTTTTCGGCCTGGTCTGGATTCAGGTCGAGCACGTTTCTGATGGCGGTTGTGGCTGGCTGAGAAGTTCTGGAGCTGAACTGCGGTGGTTTGCATTCGGTGGGCGGCATGTGCGGGGGTGGCTGAAATGTTTCTCGAGCTGAAACGTCCTTGAACAGTGGTGTATATCAGAGCTATGCTATAGCAAATAAGATGCTATCCATAAAACGCCACTTGATTTGATTTGCTTGTCCTAAGCGTTCTCAGCTTTATGATGATGAAGCCACTAAAATTTAACTTCTGTACCGCAATTGAAGTCAGAGCTGAGCTCGAAGCGAACATTACCGTCGTGCATGATAGTTGCATGCCGCCAAGTCTACCCAAAATGGCGGAATTTTAGTTTATCAATCCACCCAGCGAACGGATTGAGGGTTGGACGGATCACTACCGACACTATTCTTAGTTGTAAGTGAGATCTTACTAAAGCTTGCTACGGAAATGCTGATCCTTTAGTCATCTCTTCTCCTTAATGGTATTGGTGGCCTCCAAAACTACGCAAGCATATCAGGGTGCAGCTTAGGAGGACTGAAGCCAGCCAGTCCCAGGCCGCGATGCGGGACAAGGGGAAGCGGAAGTGGAATCGTCTAGTTCTGGATGGAGAAGCTTCGTGATTGAATCCGGAAATACTATCGACGTCAGTTTTACACATATTATTAGAGTGGCTTTTGTGGCGCTCCTTTGCGTGAAGTTGAGGGTTGGTCTTAGTTTAGTTATATTTTTTAGATGTGGGAAGAAAGGGAAGAATGAAAATGACCTGTTGAAGTGCAAACAGGGATTAAGATATCACTCACCGTCGGAACGCGGTGTAGGCCACCTTCTGCGACCTTCTTCCTTCATTTCGTCCTCAAGACGTCATTCATCCCCTAGTTCCAACGGCGGTTCCTCGGCGTCGACGAAATCCTCCTAGTTGGACCCTACGCTCCGTTTCTTGAAAGAGAATAAGTGCGGGAAGATATCGCAGGATGTAGGCGAACATGCCACTTGGCGACGGCTTGAATGACGAAAGACGAGTCAGTGCCGGGGTTTTGGGTACGAGCGATGAGGCAAGGGATGAGAAAGTGGTAAAATATAAAGTGGTACGTACAAGAAAAGTTGTCGTGTTTACTTTGGACACTACTACTAAGCCTGCTCACAGTAGGTCCTCATGCGGGAACTGATATTGAGACTAGGAGAACTATACGTCTGGGCACTCGCTGCATGAGAGGGCGATTGGGTGGATGAGACATCAAATCTGAGGATCCGAAGCTAAGAGGACGATGAGAACCGGCGTGCTGGGTAACAGTATGTCTCCAAAATGAACGCAATATGTCCCAAGTCGACGTGGTCACGAAACCATTCCATATATCAGAACTTATAGCGAAGGTTACAGACCTAATGCGTGCATTTGAACCCACACGGTCCCTGTTAATTATCATTTCACGTCTCACCAAGCCATCAAAGACCATATCTTTCTAGAAAACTGTGTTATCATTACCTATGATATTAGACATACATACCATCTATTCATTTAGATGGCACTAAAAGGTGGTTCAAGAGAACCTGCAGGCTAGCTATTATCTAGCTCCGAGGTATATTATCATCAGAGGGAACAGAATCAGTGTCATGAAGCGCAGGAAAGGATATCATATCTATCCGCCTCCCTCAGGCGCGATCGTCAGCAACCCCGTGTGTTTGTACAGGCAGGGATCAGAGTACTTAAGATGCTTGAGAGTTGCCTGAGCGGCTGGATATAGAGGATGGCCGATCGGAAGAAGCAAGAGCCGGAGCTGCACCCCGTCGAGGTGTGATTGGAACCTTGAGGGAGAGTTCGGCAACCTTCTTCTTCAGCGCTGCGTTCTCCTCTTCGACGGTCTGGATTTTCTTGTCAGCGGCAGCGAGTTCCTTTCGATGTTGAATGTCTCTCACCGTGAGCGGAATCTTCTTCTTCTGCTGAAGAGCGTCGATCTCAGCAGCATGCTTCTTGCGTTCTTCGGTCATAAAGCCTTCCAGCGAGTCAACGTGCGCAGTTAGCGCTTGGAAGTCTTCATCACGCTGTTCCAGATCCTTCTTTAGCCCCTCGATCTCTCCATTAAGTTCCTCAACCCGGCCAGCTGAGGCTTCACGAGCATCTAGATCCTTGGTAATGCTTTTCTAGAGTATCCCAATCTCGACATTCTGGCCATCGAATTCAATCCTCAGTAGCTCGAGCTCATGATGAACTTTCATGAGCTCTCGCTCAACTGCGAGCTTCTCCTCACGAAGGTCTTCGAACTCTTTAGCGACCTTGAGTGCCTCGTCAAGGGCGGTGCTGTAATCTTTCTCCACGCTCTCGAGCTTGGAGGACTCGGCGTTAAGTTGGGCTTCTAGACCAGTGATCTTAGCCATGCTCTCCGCCTCCTTCGTTGCGAGCTCATTCACGAGCTCGCTATGCAACTTGGCTAGCTTGGTGTGGCTATCCATGTAAGCCTCATCCTTCTCGCGCAGCTCGTGGATTAGTTTCTCACGTTTCTTGATTTCGATTGCGAGATCCGTTTCCTTTTCCTGAAGCTCGTCATCTTTCTGATTGAGCGCCTTGTTGAGCTTAGAAAGTTCGGCCGCTTGAGCCTTGGCTGTCTCAGCGCGCTGTGCCTTAAACTCGCTATTGAGCTGATCCTGTAGCTTCTCTTTCTGCCAATCGATATCAACCTGAGTGGTGCTAAGCCAGCGGGCCTGCGACTGCATCTCGGCATCCTTATCTTCGAGTTCGCGGCTCATTCTCTCAAGCTGGGCTTCGACAGCTCGGAGCCGCTCGTTTTCAGCGCGCAGCGTCGCAATCGTCTCATGCAGCTGTATCAGCTCTCCGTTCTCCTTCTTAAGCGCGTCGCGCTCCTCTTCTATGAGCTCAAGCTGACCAATCCTGAAATCCAGCTGAGCTATCTGGTCGCTAGTTTTCCTCCCATCAGTCGCATAAGCGTTTTCCTGCTCATCCAACTGCCGCCACGCCCTCTCAATCTTGTCCTCAAGCGCGTCATTCTCCTCTTTCAACTCCTGAACTGTCCGCTCAAGCTCCGTATTCGCGCCCTCATACAGCTCTACCTTAGTAGTAGCTTCAACAGCTATCGCTCGGGATTCTGCGACAAAGCGCTCGAACGCCTCAATCATTTCGTAGAGGTTTGTGATCTCAGCGTGGGACTTCTTGAGGTCGATGAGTGCATCGTCGCCGGTTTCTTCGAGGAGGACGTTCAGGACTTGGGCTTTCTCGCTCAGCTCTGCAATTTGCGCGTCTTTAGGAGGGAGTCGGGCTCTCTTGGCTGTGCGCCAGCAGGTGAGCCATGAGGTCTTCGTCGCGCCGGTAGCGGCGCTAGTGGCTGTAGGTGCGGAAAGGCAGCTATGAGCGGGTGGGTTTGGTGGCGGAAGGAGGGAGGGCGTGGCGATTAGGGTCTTGTCTAATTCAGTCGATGTGGTCTTGGTAGATTCGGGTTTCGTATCGGCGAAATTGACCACTTCGTTCGTTGGGCTCGGTACGGGTATTGCACCCTTTGGGTCATGTGCGTTAGTGATGCGGACCGTTCTGTCGGTTGTAGTGGTCTTCTCGTCTGAGCGATGAAGCATTACATGGGTGAGAATAGGGTTGAAGGGTTTGCCGGCACCCTTGGTAGTTTGCCCCGACATGTTCGTATCTAAGCTCGACTTCGTTTTCGGACTCAAATCTAGATCTGGGGAAGCAGACAAAGTTCTACCAGCTGTGATTTTGGAACTGTGAGTGTGAGTGGGTGACAGGTTCAAAGAGGCAATAGAAGGGTTCCTGTGTTTTGACGACACATATCAGCCAGATGAGGGGCTATATACTCCCAGCGTTGTGCGCATAGGGAGCAATGTGCAGAAATTTTGGCATTGTGAGTGAACACTATGGAGCTTGAAAGGTAGCTTCATTGTATGATAGCACAATGTTTCGTAGGGAAGAAAGGGATGCTTTGGAGACGATTGCGAGTATAGCACTAGCTAGCAAACGATGGAATGGGATAGAGGTGGGAATCATTAAGACTAATCATGCGACAGAACGACGCTCAATAGGTCGTGAAAGAAATTGGATGGGAAGAAAGCGGCGAGCATGCAGGATGGAAAGACCTAGTAAAGGAGGAGGCTAGACTGGTAGAGTAGAGAACCGAACCAATCAGACCTGGCTTTGAAGATGTTGGTAGCAAGTGATCACATTGCAAGGACGACCGTTGTCGAGTTGACCAATATTCCCGGCTTGGCTAGGTTGGATTCTGTTCAAGGGCCATCAACGGAATCAAAAGCCGACCCGGCAAACGCTCCCTACCCAAAAAGTAGAAGCTGATCATGGGAGATGATCGGTGTTCAAGGAAACTGCTCTGAGATGATGCCAATGCTGTCCAGCTTCAATAACTTGCGTGCGAGTGGCGAGAGGTTAGAGTAACAGCTAGGAGGAAACGCAGTCTGCAGCCCAAATATCGGCCATGAGAGGTACCTCGCTGTCTATATCTCCTCAGTCTGCTAGTGATGAAGCGTTGTAGAGGACGTGTAGTCATCATATTAAATGAGAGAGATATGGAAAAGGCGGTGGAGAGGATCCCGGAAAAAAACCATGTGGCTGCTTATGTGGCGTCGTGGCTGTGCGCGCTAAGCCCGATTTGCGACCATTCGTAAATTCACGTCCACGCATCGAAGGCAAACACCTTCAGCTCGCGAACCCTCTAAGGATTAGGCAAACTTACACAACTACATCACAGCTGTAGGTTATTAGCTTAGCTTGAAGGCTTTCCAAAAGCGCCTTCTTAAAACTTCGAGGAGCGAGGCTGCCTCGTGCGCCCTCTCAGCCCTTCCACCGGTGGGAAAGGGCTAATGAAACCTGACTCACTTCCAAGACACCGGTGAGGCCAAAGCTTTCGTGGAAGGCTACTTAGTAGAGTAAGACCATCCCTTTCGTACACCAGGTTCCCAGCGCACTTCTCCATCACTACGCCGCCAGCACTATCCCTACGTGTTCAGCCTTGCGGAACACGCAGTCGACACTCATTTAGTTCGCTGGCAGCAGAGCGCGCATCCGCTCTATCTCACCAAGTATGAATGCTCCCTTGATTACGTTGTATCGCAATTGGAAAGTTTCGACAGTGTACTGACTTTTGTGTCTGGAAACGTTGAGAAGCCATTGTACTTACATTGAAACTAGTATTCCCACATCCCCAGTCATGGCGCAGCCTTCTCTCCACCAGCGGCTCCTCCGCGACATCGCCGAGCTCCAAAAAGAGCCATACACTCATTTCTCTACCCACATCAACGATAAGGACCTTACGAAGATCTGCCTGATCCTGAAGCCGGAAGGATCCCGAGCACTCCATCTCACTGTCGAGATCCCGCCGGATTATCCACTCATTGCCCCCAGAGTCTCTATGCAGTCCTTGGTCGTGCACCCGAACGTCTTCCGGGAGTACATCTGCGCATCGATTCTGAACACGGAGGAGGGATGGACGCCCGCGTACACGCTGAAGGCGATCTGCATCCAGCTTCTGAGCTTCTTCTCCGGAGGCACCATCGAGCAGGAATACGGTGGACGAGTTGACTTGAAAGACTACCAGGCGCAGGCAGAATATAACATGCGGCGCTGGGGAGTCGAGAACAAGTCCACGAAACACAAGTGCGACGAGTGCGGATTTGGAAAGTCACGACCAGTTGACAGCAGCGTTGCCGACCAGCTAGCTAGTCTCACTCTTTCCAGCGGGCGTCCAAGGGCCAAGGCATCTAACGACAAAGCGAAGAAGACCCGAAACCGCCTTCTAGAGTTGCCAATTGAGCTGCTCTTGCAGGTCGTAGAGGGATTGGATACCGAGGCCCTACTTAAACTGTCGAAGACTTTCCCGGAGGTTAAAGCAGTCCTCGAATCTAACGACTGCATCCGCCTCCGAGAGTTGCAATGCTTCACCCTCAGGGAGAGCTTTATGGATGCGAAGCTTGGCGTTGGCGTTGCAATCCTGCACCAAGGAAAGGAAGGAAAGTTTGCATCCGAGTTCGAGCTACTCAGCCGAGAGGCTTTTGTGAAGTACAAGATCCGCAAATCCATCCACGGCGTGGCCTTCGACCATTGGCTGCCTCTGCCGATCCACCGTCGACATTGGCACGCAGTGAAGCTGGACGTCAACGCCACGCTTGAACTGCTTTCCCGCAAGGCGACTCTGAGCAAGGTCTTCCCGGAGTACGTGCTGTATCACTTCATGAACAACATCGTCGTTCAATTCAGCCAGGACGCGGAGTCGGTTAGCAGGAAGAGCACTTTGAACCATGCCTCTGAGAAGGCTGTGGAGGCATACTTCGCCCTCTTCCACTTGCTACTCTGCCTCGCGACCGAGAACCAGCAAATTATTCGGGACGCAAACCGAATGATTGATGGGTTTCTTGGAGGCGCTACTTCGAAGGACAAGTTTCCCAACCTTGGTCTCCTTCTAGTCGCTGCTTTGATCTCCGACCAAGGCCTTACAAAGGAGCTCAGTCTTGCCGTCATCAAGGAAGCCGCCTTGCGCAACGTCGTCTGGATGCTAGATAGGAAAGGAGCCGGAAGGGCAGAGCTGGCCTACATCGAGCCTGAATCAAGCTCGAATTACCGCCTAGATAAGACCTTTGAAGCTTCCACGACGTCCTACCGCCTCCTGATGTTCCTCAATCTCTTCTACAAGACAGCTCGCAAGTCTGGCAAGCTGGAGGACCTTCGCGAGCAGATGTTCGACAACCACGGCGCGCCTCCTCAAGGCACTGCGGAGCGGATGGCCAAGCAAATTCGTGAAATTCGTGAAGTAAAGAACTTCCCTACATTCTTGACGAACATGGGCTTGGCTACCCCAACGAAAGATGGGTTTGTGGGCTTCTTGAAGCGGACTATCACGGATAGCGTTGCGGCTGGATACTCGTCTGAACCCCTCACGCAGTCCCAGCTGTATGCGATGAGATGTCAGGTTGAGCCAGGTATCGGGTTGGCTCCGGGTGTTGCACCAAGCGTGGGCGCGCCGTCTCCGTTGACGATGATGACTGTTTCTTTCTTTCCTGGACGCCAGAAGTCGAATGGTCCTCGGAACGGGCAGCGAGGGAGGCGTTGAAAATGGAAGCCTGATTGATGTCTTTGGGAGAGATCGATGTGGTTTCTAGTCCGTCAAGGCTCCCGTTTTCTTTTCATATTGTTCCTGGGCGCATTGCTTGTGCTATAGGGTTCTTGGGTAAGAATCCTAGGCTGAAGGCCTCTTGGATTTGGATATGGTTCTTCTCTATTTTTCACTGTGCGTTTAGTGATGAGCTTGCTTTTGTGGAGGAGGACCCTTTAGATAGCGGTTAGTACACACAACCTGATCGACATCATTGATTAACTCATGAGAGGCCTGCTGAAGTGCCTGATTTAACGAAGTGATGGAAAGTATAAATGGGTTCGATCCCAATCTAACCCGGCAGAGACAATAATGCCAGCACATACTATTTTATCGCGGATCAACGGTGACGACGCGTTTGCGTTTCTCTAACGTCTTGTTCGTACACCAAGGGCGGCATGGCATCCATGATCTATACCACATAGCTCGTGCTGCTGCTTGAAGTTGGATTAGAAGGCCGAAAAGTGAGGCGGGTGGTGCGAAGGAGGTGTCCCGAGGTTCAGCATTATGTAAAATGACTGCCCTACACATATTACTAAGGTCTTTCAACGATCGTTCAAGCGCTTTCATTGCAGCTACAAAATGAAGATGATTCAAATTCCTAAAGCTGTAACGTGAGAGCGTGCCATCGCGGAGCAAGGGCCATGACGCGATGAAACGAAGGCAAGAACCCGAGACCTAGCCGAGTATTTACCTTCCTCAGCCTTCTACCTTAAACCTCCCTCAGCCTTCTACCTTAAATCTCCCTCAGCCTTCTACCTTAAACCTACCTCCAACACGCCAACACCCTTCCTCAGGCCGCAAACTTGATGCACAGAATCCGCACCTCCAGGCTTCCAACATCCCTACAACGAGCGTCATCCAGCCTCTCTCTCAAGAGCCTCACCCGCTACAGCTCTAAGCACCACCCCACTAAACCCCTCCCCCGCGCTACCGCCAACCTCTACACCAACCGCTCCATCACCATGTCCGCCAAAATCACCAAGACCTCCGACCTCCCCCCCTCAGAAGCAAAATGGATCTCCTTCCAAAAAATCGACTGGGTCGACCAAGCCGGCGTCGCACGCGTATGGGAAGTCGCCTCGCGCAAAACACGCGGCAGCTCCGGCATCGACGCCGTCGCCATCGCCGCGATCCTACGCTCGCCCACCGCCCCGCCCTCCACAATCATCATCCTACAATTCCGCCCTCCCGCGGCCGGCATCTGCGTTGAGCTGCCGGCGGGGCTGATCGACGCGAGCGAGACCCCGCAGCAGGCGGCGGTGCGGGAGCTGCGCGAGGAGACGGGGTATGAGGGGAAGGTGGTGGGGATGAGTCCCACGATTGTGAGCGACCCGGGGATGACGACGGCGAATATGCAATTTGCGACGGTGGAGGTGGAGGTCAAGGAGGGGGAGCTGCCGCCGGTGCAGCAGCTGGATGAGGGGGAGTTTATTGTGAGGGTTGTTGTGCCGATTCATGAGTTGTATGCGAGGTTGGTGAAGTATTCGGAGGAGGGGAAGACTGTGGATGCGCGGTTGTGGCATTGGGCGGCGGGGATTGAGTTCGCGAAGTCGTTGTGAGCGGAGGGAGGGGTGGGGAGAGGGGGAAGATGATGTGGTCTATTAGCAGTCATGAAGCTGATGCTGCTATATGCTGGCGATGGGTATTATGGTCAAAGCTGGCTCCTGTGCACATTCATCTACCACTGCTTGAGGTGGCCCCGCTCGCTTTTAAAACTCCAGTCACGATGTAAAGAATGATGTTGTGGAGATTGGGCTGCCTTTTGACCTGTTACTTACCTCGCAGCTGGGCTCCTCCTGACGGTAGTGTTGAGCGAGCAAGAGTGGAGCCCGTGCAAAGGTATATTCATGTGCTGGAACGTACAAACATCTGAAGCCGATGTCAAGGTCAACGCAGCATGAATCAAGCTGCCTCTTGACTTACTGTTTACCTCACAGCTAGGCCACTCCTGACAGTGGTATCGAGCGGGCAAGAGTCGAGCTCAAGGACTGCTACATTCATGTAACTAGACTTGTGGCTTAGGTACTGTACAACTCGTCGTCAGTCCATCTTACGACCTTTTCTCTCTTGCTCAAGCACTCCTCGACAGAATGCACCCCCGTAATCCTATAGTTACACCTCTCCCAATCTTCCATTCTGGACGGCACCTGGTGGCCCTCCCCGTACATCCAATGCTTCAAACATATCATATTCCCGCCCTTCTCCTTCCTCTCAAATATGAACTTCTCCCGTTCACGCCACATCGTCGGAAACACTGCTGGCTCCGTCACACACCACGCACGCAGCGTACACTCAATCCGATTCTTCGAGCCCCGCCACCCCAGCACACGCGTGTCGGTTTCCCCACTAACAAAATAGTCGGCATACGGGTTCACAAGTACCACAGCGTAGCTCGGCTCGGCCTGCCTCTCGTCGACAAGCCGCAAGTAGTCGTCGAAGGACCTGATTGCCCACCGTACTTTGCTTGTGAGCTTTTCGCCTTTGAGTACGGTTAGATAACACCACCCATAGCACTTCAACGCGACGTCGCGTGCTTCTCTGCATACAGCGAGCAGCGCTGGCGCCGCACAAGAGCCGTCGTTTCGGGGCTCCTGCTCGTGAGTGATGTTTAAGCGACGGGGGATAAACGCAGCGAAGGTCCAGACCATGAGGCGGAGCTCTGCTGGGAGGTTGCCGAGTTGGGGGAAACAGGATCCTGAGGGCGATCCCGAAGCGGCGTTGGACAGCACGTTTAGAGCGAGTAGGAGCTCTGGGCCGGGTGCTGCATTCGTCCATGGCGTGGCGCTGGCGGAAGTTTGGTATCCGATTGGGACTTCGAGCTTTATTTTTCTCTTCTTTTCGAAGCCGGGCAGGGGCGTCGTAATCAGGCTCGGTAAGAAGGTTGGACATGGAAGAGTAGTGCTAGTGTCTGTGCGCGTGTAGATGTCGGGTTTGGGCTTGTTGTCGTTGGCAGGGTTGCTGCTAGTATTGTCGGTTGAACTGCTCGGAGCATCTTGAGACGCGAAAGGGTCGCCGTGACGGGACTTGAATTCGAGGGCTGAGGCGTCCTCCACCATGTTGGAAGGTTGAGGCTGGGAGAGGATGAGGTGGTGGGTTGTTTTGGTGAGGAGCTTGGCTGTGGTGAAACGGCTGGTGTGTTTTACTTTGTGGTGAACATGATCCTGGAACTTGGGACTGCACCGCCTCTTGTGGCGGTGCTCTCCACCTCGCAAGCCACCTGGGCACCCTTCAATATAGCTCGGCGACTTGTTCTACTAATTCGCCGAAGGCTTGATGGTAGCCGAGGATTAGTACCTGGCGGCTCCAGCTGCATTATTTGTCGGAAACAGCGCTTGTTATTCAGCAACCTTACTGCAGCCTGAGAGCAAGGCCGTCCTCGTTGGCCCGTATGCGAGAGATTGAAAACCTTCGCTTCAGACCCTCCAAACTGGTGGCCTCTCTACTAGTGTCTTGGGCCACGAAGCACCGAGATAAGGAGATGGAGGCGTGTGGATACCCACATGTCCATCTGCCGCACGATTTTCTCGTTTGTTCCGGGAGATGGTCTCATGGTTACGTGGCAGTCAGGACTCTTTTACTAGAAGAAGATCGTTCTGATCGCTCTGATCGTCACTGCCGATTTCTTTGCACGACGCTGACCATGGATTTCCCAACATCGGCAGAGTTTTCAGTGCTTACACAGAAACAGTAGCGGACCATCCTTCACTGGGTAGCTCCAACGGTCGGTTCACTCTAGTGAATGCTAGCTGGGTCTCCCTTGCGGTCTACAACCACAAGCTCATTGATGACATGGATGTTAGGGAACCTGCCGTTTATGCTCGTGGGCCCGAGAGTACGTACTTGTACCTGCGTAGCGTCCTCCAAGCTTACGGTCTACGCCACTACGGCCCCGAGGGCCCGTCTTCGGGAGCAGCGGAACGAGGGCACTGGAAGCCGACCAGTGGGGTCCCCAAGCTCGATAGCGTTCTTTGCGGAACATGCACAACAGAGTCGCTGAGAAAGTGATTTCCGCCCGTTCCTGAAGCCCTCACGCCATCGTCTCCGACACTTTGGGTTGCCCCATGAACTCGGTATAGCGAGCGAGCCGCATCCCAGAGCAGTTCATCTCACTGACACAGCACCCTTGCATTGGGTTGTGCCGCAGTCGACAGCACTCCTCCGCCGCTATGGAAACTACGAGTCCACGACTCGCCGCTCAATACTCATTCCGGATGTCGTCTAGATAGGTCCAGAGGTCTGTGTGGCTCTGCGTCTGCCGCTAAGAGGGCCGGATATGCGGCCGTTGGGTGTACCGGCCCTTCAATTTATACCTCGTGGATGCCACGTTAGTATCCCGTGTTCCAACAAACTCTCCTTCCTTTAGAGTTTGTCTTTTGAACTTGGCAGCTCGGTAATCATGTTGGCAAATCTCTGGGATGTGATTGTGGTGGGCGGTGGCCTCGCAGGGAGTGTCATCTCGTCCAGGTTGTTGCAGAACAATACGTCACTCAAGATCCTCTTGATTGAGGCGGGCGAGGACGTGTCGACGAACACTATCATTCCGTATGCAGACAATCAGGCCCTTCTGGTGCCGTCGCCATGGAGTTGGAATGATACTACGGTCCCGCAGACGGGGCTGGACAATAGGGTTATACCTAACCCAGCTGGAAAGGGTCTTGGTGGAGGCACGATTATCAACTCATGTAAGTTGGGATGTCTTCTTTCTAGAAGGGACACTAACACTCTACCAGGTGGATGGATCCGTGGTAACGAGAATGACTTCGATCTGTGGGCCAGTACTGTGGGCGACTCGAAATGGAGCTACAATGGCCAACTGCCTTACTTCCGCAAGGTGGAACATACATGGAACGCCTCCGCAAACCCTGAAGAACACGGCTTCGTAGGACCCATGTGGTTCGCCTCTGTCTCTTCAACTGGTCGCAACTATCCTCTTCGCAACACCATCAAGTCTGCCTGGGCGGAAGCCGGTCTGCTACCTCCCGCTGATGGAGATGCCAACGACGGCACGCCGCTGGGACTTGGGGAGCTCAACGAGAACCGCAAGAATGGTCTCCGTGAACTCGCCTCCTCCGCCTACCCCCTCGCCGGTGTCACTGTTCTTACCAACACGCTCGTCGGCAAAATCCTGATCTCTCAGGTCGCCGGATCTCTCTTCGCTACGGGGGTGAAGCTTGCAAATGGAACCGAGTTCTACGCAAAAAAACAGGTCATCCTGTCTGCTGGCGCCTACCGCACGCCCCAACTCCTCAAGCTCTCCGGCGTCGGTCCTACCGCTGAATTGAACGAGTTCGGCATCAAGCAACTCGTCAATGCGCCCGCTGTTGGCACTGGGCTAGCAGACCACATGCTCCTAACGCTGTACTGGAAGCTCCGCCCTGAGGTTGCCGCGCAAGGTGTTGCTCTCGGAAGCACCAACCCTCTCTTCGCGGAGCCTCAGTTCGGAGACGGAGTGCCGGCTGACTGGGTCGCGACTGAGTCTCTACCCACTGATCAACTGATAGCCGCCATCACGAAAGACGAGGGCAAGGTGCCTTCGTCTTCCCACCCCTTGTTAGCGACCAAGCGTTCGTTCATGGAAACCCTCATCATCTATGCTGGCGCCAGCGCTGCGGATCCGGTTATTCAGTACAACGGCTCTCATATCATCAGCACCATGGTTGGTCTGTTGCCGACTTCGAGGGGCACGGTCAAGCTTGCGTCGACCAACCCAGCCGACCATCCCATCATCGATCCTCAGTACTTCACAACCGAAGTTGACAAGCTGAACTTCCGACACGGGATCCAGAGGGTTGCGCAGTTGTTTCTTGGAACGCCGACTGGTAATGCCACTATCGAAGGAGAGACGCCGGCGGATGGGTTTGCGCCGATTACGCTATCGTCGGATGACGATTACTTGAATGCGAGGGCTAGACACAGTTCCGAGTAAGTTCGACTCATTTCTATCTACACCCTCGAGTTAGGATACTAACAATTTGTAGAAACTCATATCACCCCATGGGCACTGCGGCCATGGGCAAAGTCGTCGACAATAACCTCAACGTCATCGGAGTCAAGAACCTGAAGATCGCAGATACGAGCGTGTTTCCAGTGGTCATCACTGCGCATTTGCAGCAGGCGACGTACGCGATGGCGGAGCAGGCCGCGGTGATAATTGCGGCGGCGTGCAAGAACTAAATAATTCTATGTAAAGAGGTAGTAACAATTACTTTCTGAAATTTTTTAAACTGGCTGGAGGGTGTATATAGCCTTCTCTAATGGCATTAATACGGTACTACAATGTATATACGGTTGTACCACACCTTCAATGCCTGCTTCTTTGCTCATAGAGTTCACATGCGTGTTTCATGATCCCACCGTTTAGGGCTATTTTCTTCCCAATCCCTGAACACCTTGCATGGTGCTTGAACCGAGGGATTTGTGTGGCTTGCGGAATGCCGCTGGATTGACTTCATGCTTGCAGTGTCGATCCTCGGAGGCTCCGCGAAGTTGCAATCGTCCCGTCCGCTTACATAATGTTCACGGAAAACACTGGTAGACTAGATGTTAGTGCTGCTCATCACTTCCCTCACCGATCTGGTCCGGGCATAATCACGGACGCCGCCAGTCACTAACAAACGGCGGCGTGAGCTAGTTACCAAAGTTCGGTACGGCTCGTGCAGCGGATGGTTCGTTCTTCTTCTCCCATTTCCTTTGGTGGCGCATTTCGGGTACGCGACCTCGGGACTCGAACTTCCAGCGCCCACAGACTGGACTAGCTACGACGCCGTGGTGTTGGGGACTGCGGGAAGGCTAGAAGGAACTCCCGCACTCTGGATGGCTGGGTGGAAGAGCGGACCGTGTGGAGTTGCAGGATGAAAATTCGAGTGCCCCTGGCACCATTGTGTCGTCAGCTCTGGAATCCTTCAGCGCTAGGAGCCTAAGGACGTGATACATCCACTATCCGCAACTGCTGCTGTGTCGACGAAATGGCTTGATGAGATATATACCGGCAAGGTTCGGAATATCAAGTCGGCTTTTCGCCTTTCTCTAGTCCCTCTCCTCCTACCACTAAAGGCTGGAAGTTACCGGGCACCAATCGGACACGCAACATGCCAGCGCTCACCGCGGTAGACGGACCCACGGTTGCTTGAAGGCTCCCGTGACGGTTCGTGTGCCGTTCCTAGCCCAGATCTGTCTATCCACTCGGTTACTAACCTCCACTGCGTCTTTTCTCCTCCGCCTCCAGATCCCATCCCGGCTCCTACCGTGCCTATGATGCTTCCGGCTTCGTCTCCGCGTCTGCGGGGGTTTGAAACTTGCCGTCTAGCGCCGAAAGTCGCGATTCAGGTGTCTCAGCCTGTAGCTCGTAGCGTCTCTTTGCTGGGTTGCCCTGCCTTAGCGTGAAGTTTACTTCAACATTCCGACTGCCCGTTTGGAATGGCGTACGAATTGGAGAGTATCAAAACCGCCAGGGCGCTGTTGCAAGCGATCAAGGTCTTAACGTCACGAGGAACCTTGAATTCTGTATCGGACGAAAGCCACGACCGGCGCTGACAGCCAGTGGCCCTAGCGATTGCAAAGAGGTGAGAGTCTGGATTTTGTAAGGGAGTGCACATCTTGCACGCCTTGGGCAAGCAGCCGCTGCGATGTGCACCAGATCGTAAATCATTTGTGGGTGGATTGACGGTCACGTTCATTTTCCACCATTACGGATCTCAGGATCGCTGCTGTGGAAGACGGTCCTTCAAGAAGTTAGATCAGGTACAGTTACCCTCCATCATCTTGTGCGTCGGTGCATCCAGTTTATCATACCACCTCAAATGCTCCTACGGACTAGGGGCAGGACTCCATCCCCACCTGTGCAGTAGTGTAGCGTCCTTCGCTCACCTGAGCAAGAAGGTTACCTTTGATTTCCGAGCCGCAGGCATATCCTGAACACGGCCGCTAGTCGTTCCAGCGACGGCCTCGCTGCCGTAGTTCTAGGGGTCCAAGGGCCTCCCGGCACCGGCCACAGCGCCGGTCCCAAAGAAGCGAGCCGGTCACCGAGAGAGGCGGCGAATGGCCGCGGGAGTGGATGGCGGGAGTTCGAGCGAACTAGTTCATGCACTCTATTCCAAGGTTAGCAGAGAACGAGGGAGTGAGCGAGCCAGGGAAGCATGCGGCAGATGGCACCCCTCAGGACACTCCCCAGCGATGCCCCAAAACGGCGTCAGTCAGAGCCATGCATCCACTCAGGCATGAAAGCCCTTCCTTGCCAATACTCGCCACACATTTATGAATTCGAGGAAGTACCCTGTCTGCGACTCGTTGATCCCTTACTGCCTTTGACAAGGCTTATCATGTCTGGGTCTCCCACACTGTGGGTCGCTGAATGCTTCTTCTTGATCTCTTGCAAGCTTCTTTCTTGTGAATACCCTCACTCTACTCATTGCACACCTATTCATCCAGAATGGATCCCTTGGATTTGGAGCATAGGCAGACTGCTGAGCAGTTCCCCGGTCCAATTATACCGACGAGTTCTGGTGGTGCTTCCGTCATAACCACTGATGTCATAATGGTTGTATTGACGGGCGTATGGGTGGGCTTCCGTTTGTATGCTCGGAAAATGAAGAGAATGCAATTGCAAGTGGAGGATTACTTTCTCCTCATAGCATTGGTGCAGTGACACGCATCGCCACCCTAGACCATCCTTTAACAAATCCCTAGATTTTCTTCTACATAATGATCGTTATCAGCTTTTTGAGTAGGTCTCCCGACACGCACCAGAGGAGAGTGTCTCTAACAGGCTCTAGTGGTTTATATGGGGGGACTTGGTCATCATATTGCTTTGCTAAATGCCTCTACAATAACGAATCTCCTTAAGGTAGAAAAGTCTAGATTCCCAACATCCTGTATAGAATTAACACCAAAACAGTTCTCACTAGCTTCCCAAGTCCTCTACGCCGTCTCTTTGGGCTTGGTAAAATGCAGCATTTGCCTGATGTTGGCGAGGATATTCTTTGTGCGCCCCTTTGTCATCGCTGCGAGGGTGGCTATGGGATTCGCAGCATCTTGGGGTAAGTGCCATAAACACTTCAAAGATCTAAAAACTAATCGATCTCAGGTTTAATGACATTCTTGTAATTATAAACCCACAGAAACAACAGCACTCTGTCATTTGCTAACTTTAGTAGAATTGGCATCCTGATCTGCCAACCCATCGAAATGAACTGGAACCCTGAAGTCAAAGGCGGGAAATGCGGTAACCAAAACGCCGCCTTTGCCTCAGTCGGCATCGTCGACCTCCTCACCGATCTCGTCATCCTCCTCCTACCTATGCCAATGGTCGCAAAGCTCCAGATCCCGCGCGCGAACAAAATCGGCTTAGTTTGTATCTTCTGCACTGGAATGCTGTACGTTGCTTCCCCCTTCTTTCCCCAATCTGCGCTTATTCTCAGTTTGAGATACGAAAATACTAATGTGCGATGGGGTATTAGGACCATGGCCATTGGTATTGTCCGCGTTGTAGCTGTTACCACCGTCAATTTCAAAGACTTCTCCACCGACGCAAAAGACGCGCATATCTACTCGGTGGTTGAAGTGGGCATCGCCATCATCGTGTCATGCTCTCCCACCCTCCGGCCCATATTCGACAAGATCTTCCGCACCATCTCGAATCTGTCCAGCGGGACCAAGAGCAACATCGGAAACCAGTATCTCTCGAATCGCACGGGGCGGAGCACGACGGCTGATGGGTTCATGCAGATGGGGGATGAGATTGCGTTGAAGAGTATGGATGGCCGCAGTCGGGACGGGAGGGTGGAAACGAGAATCACAGCCAGCGGTACGAGTTCAGAGGAGTACTTGGGAGAAGAGAACGCCGTGAAGGGGAATACCGACAATCTGCCTGTAAACCCGAGAGGAATTTTTGTGAAGACGACCGTGGATCACCAATAATCCTTTCTTGCAGCATTTACGCGGCGTCTCGGCATGTAAAAGACGTCTCTTAATCCATTTCTTGCGATGAAGCGGCATATTAAGATGATAGTATGATACCCCTGAAATATATATCCATTACCTCGAACAAATCCCCTTTCCCTTTCAATCTCGCTACTCTTACTTCTCTGTTTTCAAATCACTTTAGGCACCCACCACGTTCTCGTCTCCCCGATTGTGCAACGCCGTCGCCACCTTCCCGGTCATCCGGTCCTCCACATTCGGCAGGAATATACTGGCAATCAAGGCAATACCCGTGAAAGCGATTGTGGTCAAGAACACGGTTCGGTACGCGTCCGCATTCGCTACTTTATACGCCCTTGCGCCCACAGCCAGGATCTGTGGTGTTAGGCCCTCCACTCCTTCGAACGAGCCTGTCGTGAAGCCTGCGAGGAAGCTTGCGATACTGGAATTGGGTAGACCGGCACCGACGATGGCAGGGATCACTTTCTGAGGGATTGTATCGGCGAGGCGGTTGCTAAGAATGACGGAGTAAATAGTGGCGGAGATGGAGCTGATGAGGAAGCGGATGGAGCCTGCTACACCACCCGCGGTTCCGATTTCCTGTTGGTTGTTGATCGATATCGTCGTCAACGTGATAGCGACGGACTCGCTCCAGCCGATGAAGAAGACGCCGAGGAACGACAACACACACGCTCTCGCTCTCGTATCAGGTGTACACGTCGCGACACCTATCGCAACATACATCAGCCACACCCCTCACAAAACTGAACTAGAAACAGGAAGCAGTAGTACTCACAAGCAAACAATACCCCCCCAATCGCAAAACTCGCCGTACACTGCCACTTGACCTTCCCAATCGCCTTCGCACAGAACCCACTCACGATCTCGCCCAGGATAATCCCCAGCCCCACCAAGCTCGACAGCATCCCCCCATACATCTGATCGCCATCCGCATACAACACCGTCACCATGCTCGGCCACACAATCGCAAACGCATAATACAACCCCGCACCCAACCCGCTCGTCACCACCGCCGCGATCCACCGCCCGTTCTTGAAGAGGTGCATCGGCACCAGCGGCTCCTCGAGCTTCGCAAACGTCTCCCATAGGATAAACGCGGCTAGCGCCACAGCGCCGACGACGATGGTCGCGATCACGTGCGCCGATTTCCAGGCATAGACGCTGCCGCCCCAGTTGAGGCCGAGCAGGAGGATGAGGAGCCCACCGGAGTAGACGACGCAGCCGATGTAATCGAATTTCTTGGCGTAGGCGAGTTTCCTGGCGTTGCGGTGCTTCATTTGGAAGGTGGGTGGGTGGTAGAAGAGGACGAAGCAGGCCATGGAGCACGCGTTGACGGCGATGAGGATGTAGTAGAGGCCGCGCCAGCCGGACTTGGTGTGTAGGATCAGGGCGTTGCCGATGGCGGGGGCGAAGCCGGAGCCGGGGATGGTGAAGATGTACTGGGTGGAGGGTTAGTTGGGAGTAAAAGAACAGGAAGAGGGTAAGGAATTAACAGAACGAGAAGACACAGCAGGAAAGGAGGGACTTACCATAGACGCATTCCCAATGAACCGATACTTCATCGGCACCAACTCGCCCATGATGTAGTAATACGACAATTGCGTCGCAGCACCCAGCCCGATCAAGGTCCCGCCCCCAATCAGCGCTCCAACACTCTTCGCAGTCGCACATACGATACTTCCAATAAGCCCGAAGGCTGCGCCGCCGATAAAGACGTAGCGGCGACCGAAAATGTCCGTTACGCGGCCGATTATAGTGAGGGAGACTGCGATCATGAGTGTATACACAAGCGCAACCCACACGATGTTAGGATCTGGTCCTACATCCGCATTTATGAGGCCGAGAATGGGCGCTGCGTAGCCGAATCCTGCGACACCGGCGAGCAGACCGAGGCCGATTGCGAGCATAGACCCTAAAAAGAAGGAGGATTTGAAATAGCCCGGTGGCATTTCATCGTCGAGGAGCCCGAGGGCGTCGGTGTGAGCAATTTCGTTCTTCTGAGGGTGTGTCGACAGATTGTCAGCCATTTCGATATCGTGCTTTTCAGTTTCGATCGCCATGACGTTGGATGAGTGTCCCGTCAAGAGAGGAGGCGATTCTACTGTAATGTAGTATGGCAGTGAAGATATTGGAATTAAAGAGCCGAGAAATCAGTCCCAATCTACGCAAGCAAAGTATGACTTAGATGCGATCCAGTCTCCAGAGATAGTGGAGGTAATGGGGTATAAAGACACCGAGAGAATGGAAACGCCGCTCGAAGCCAGGGATGCGACTGAACTTATACCGAGGACCTGGCTACTGATTCATCGAAGCATCTGAGTCGCGTCCAGACCCTGCTGCCGATGAACCGCGATCAGCTTACCCCAGACTTTGCAATGCTAGTGCGCTAGCGCGTTCTCCGCAATTGCGGAAGCGAAGAGGCGGTCATGAGGCCAAGGGAGTTAAGCACTGCTAGACACGAGACTAAGACGCGCGGAAAAGGGCTCCTGGGACTGTGTGCTGTACATGCATGTATCTAGAACTGTGATTCGCTCCGATCTGATCGTATAAAGCATTAAGCTCGGCTTGTTGGCTAGATGGTGGTTATCCCTGAGTCATGGATGCATTGAAAAACATGTGAATTGAAAGCATGTGGACATTCACCGACTTTTCCCAAGCTCATGTCACCAGAAAACACACTTCAAAGACTCGAACTCAAGCACCATCTCTCAAGCCTTACCGTCCTGCACCATTTATTGTTGTCTTCCATCCTAGCTACAAGGGTAGGAAGCATGGAAGAAGTGACGATGGCCCTGGGAAATCATTTCCCCGCTCCGTAACCCCGGAAATCATTGTGCGGATTGCGGAGACCCCATCCTCCACTTTCCCCAGACAAAAGCACGGTCCAATCACACCCACGCAGACATCAGCGTATCCTTCCCCATGAAAGCTAATGATTCAGTACCCGCTGGCCGGAAAGCCTCGACCGTGCGGGTGTCATGCTCCTGAGATCCAGACCCCACCGCGGGGCCCCGCGTATACGGCAATCCTATAACATTCGAGATATCCGACTTGACAACTTTAAATAGAGCCTCTTACTACAAAGGTATTGCTCTAACTCGAGATACCCATTCATACCTTTCAATTGTCAATTTCCCTTCCTTCAGATTAATTCCACCATGGGTGTGCTTTCACCAGATGTTGCGCCTTTAAGCGCGACGGTCTACCAATCTGTGCAATGGACGGCTGCTGGATCGTTTGCTGCTGTGCGTTCTGTTGTCTTGGATAGATTAGATGAAATACTAATGTGCGATTCAGGTCATTTTCTACACAATTTGGAGGTGTATCTACAATGTGTATTTTCACCCTCTCGCCCGTTTCCCCGGCCCTCTCATTTGCAAGATCTCCCCTGTAAGTCGCTCAGAAAACGGTGTGCTTCGGTCGAGATGAGTAATGCTGATCGCGAGACTTGCTAGATCTATCCCATTCTTGGCCTCCACAAGGGACGATGGCCGTTCATTGTCAAGAAGCTTCATGATAAATATGGTTAGATATAAAGCTCGAATACACTTTCTTAGTGTCTGACCTTCATAGGCCCTATCGTTCGGTTGATGCCGAGCGAGCTCGTGTTCACTGATCCCCAAGCATGGAAAGACATCTACGGCCACCGACAAGGCCACCCTCAATTCCATAAGGTACGTTGACACAGAAGGGCCACCGACCTCTAAAGGCTAATAGACCTCAACAGGATCCCATCCATGTCGGTTCCGTTCAAGAAATCAAAGGCGCCTCCACTTTGACCATGGCCGGAGACGACGAGCACGCCCGCCAACGCCGCTCTCTCTCTCATGCCTTCTCTCAGAAAGCCCTCCTCGAACAAGAGTCCATAATCCGCGGCTATGTCGACCTTTTCATCGAGCGCCTCACGCCTTATGCCGCTTCAGGCAAAAAACTAGACATGTGCAACTGGTATAACTGGACCACCTTTGACATCATCGGCGACATGGCATTCGGCGAGCCTTTCGGGTGTCTGCGTGACGGAAAAGAGCATGCATGGGTCGGACTAATCACCGAGACCATCAAGGCTGGCGCTTTCGAGCAGAGCACACGGAGAATGTTCGCGACGGGAAGCATTTGGCAGAAGGCGTGCAAGATATTCATCCCGAAACATTTAAAGGAGAAACGGTTCCTCCATCTCAAACTCAGCATGGAAAAGGTCCAAAAGTAAGCTCCTCGCCCCGAATACTTCCATTAGAGACCAATTCATGTTGATAACCCTCAGACGCCTCGACCAAGGCCTACGCCGCGAGCACCGTGACTTCCTATACTACATCCTGCGGCAGAACGAAAAAGGCTCTGTCAGCGAAGCTGAGATCATGCTCAACAGCGCCCTCTTCATCGTTGCCGGCTCCGAAACTACCGCTTCCTTCCTCGCCGGCATGACTATGTGGCTTATGCGCACTCCCCACACTTACAAGCGTCTTACAGAGGAGATCCGTACCACCTTCCCTAAAGTCACGGACATCAACTTCCTGGATCTCCAGGCGATGCCGTACATGCAGGCTTGTATCGAAGAGGGCCTCCGCATCTTCCCCTCCATCCCCACTGGCCTCACGCGTACGGTACCGAAGAGCGGTGACACCATTGCGGGAGAGTGGATTGCGGGCGGGACGACAGTTTCTGTGCACTCCTGGGCGGCGACACACTCGGAGCGCAATTGGGTGCGGCCGGAGGAGTATATACCGGAGAGATGGTTGAGTGGGGAGAACGAAGCTTTCGACAAGGACCTGAAGGAGGCTAGTCAACCTTTCTCGCTGGGGCCGAGGGGGTGCATCGGACGGCATCTAAGCTATATGGAACTGAGGTTGATATTGGCGAGCTTGTTGTGGCATTTCGACATCGAAAGGGCGGATATTGGAACGCCAGGTGCGTTTGATCTCTGGGATCCGACGGATAACTTGCAGCATGTGAAGGCCTTTAACACGTGGGACAAGCCGCCTCTTTGGTGTAAGTTGACGCCGGTGAAGAGGTAGGGAGCTGATGGAAGGGGCGGGGAGGGGGCGGTTTTAAACTTGACTTCACAGCTTGACCAGGGGCACTTGACCACAGTATGCCTCGATGTAAACCTTTTTTTCGTTGTTATGAATATTAATCGTCTTCAATATGTGGAAAATAGGGAAAATCAATGCCACGTGCCACATTTCGACTCCAATTTTCGTGATGAGTCGATTTCCATGTTCTCGTGAGCCACGCCTCGACCTCCTATCGACCATTTCCCTCTCCCAACGACTCAGCACGGCACTCAAAACTGAAACTGCAGTGGTCACGAGTGAGTGAATTGAACCATCTTCATAGAATCAAGGGCTTTTGTAGTCCTTCAGGACTCCGAGAGACTGCTCATAGCCCATTGCTTTGACCTTATGCTGAACACTACACGCACCTCAAGACTCAGCGCTGTAAAAAAGCGCAAGACTGCAACAGTCATGAATGAGGGATTAGACCATCTACTACACATTACACGCCCCTGAAGACTCAGTACCGCAAACAAACGCGAAACTCCAAGACATTTGAGCCAATATAGGGAGTCATCGATAGGCAAAAGCGTGGGGGGCTATGGAGTATATAAAGATAAGTTTGGAAGGGAGAACTACTCCTTACCAACCTCGAATTCAGAACACTCAAATTCCTACGAACGAGCTCAAGCTATACAAATACCAACATCCTCTGAACCCCCGAAGTTCTCTTCCAACAACGTGAAACAAGCCAACCTAATCGCTCAAGCATGAGTAAGAAATGAGGCTACTACTTGAGTGTACTGGCTAACGGAAGCCAAGTCCCAATGTCCATCCCCACAGCTCAACAGTGGCGCGGCACATCCGGCTCCTGGGCCATCCTCTCCGACCCCACGGACTCCAGGAAACTCTTCAACACCAACACACAAGAATTTGAGATTCCCGAGAGATGCACGATCAAAACCCGCACATTCGCCTGCGGCTGCAGGAAATACCTCGAAGATCGCATCATCCGCTGCCAGAAATACGTGGATTGGCGGGAAGACAAGGTCTCCTTTTTCGACCACAGGCAGGGCAAGTGCGGCCAGGATATTAAATGCTACGCCTATGCGAATGAATACAAGGATGGGGAAGATAGAAGGCAGTCTCTGAATTGTGGGGACGATGGAGTGAGCTGCCCGTGTGCAGAGATAGAGCCAGAAAAGGATAGGCCGTGTAGCCATGAAAAGCAACGAGCGAAGTTTCAAAAGATTTCAGACGACGAGACAGCGAGAATCATTCGGCGCAAGAAGCAGCAAAAGCGCAAGAAACAGGAATCGCGCAAGAAGGGAGAAGCGTCTGGTGGTGATGCCGGGGCTGGGGCTAGTGGAGCCGTTGCAGCTGGTTAGATAGGACCGGGGCTAGTAGAGCCGTTGCGGCGGCTCAGATGGATGGATAGACGGAAGTAGGTGCCTCTGGACCTTATACCTGGGTTTCATTATCTGGTTCTTTCTTTTATTCCCTTACTAGATGTCTCCGATGTGTTTTCAATCAGCGTTCCATGAAACCACATTCCCTTTCCCCTACCCCTGCCTCTTTCCTTAAATCAGTCTCTTAATAATCTGGGAGTATATGTATCATAGGTCCATCTCTTTGTTGAATTATAGACTATTTCCGAGGCCACTAGGCTCAGGCCTCGGCGAACATCTGTGCCAGTGTAAATGGTGAGTGTTTCGCATGTGGTGTTCGACAGCACTTTCATAAACCAACGGCAGACAACGATGAAGACTCAGTGGTCATGAGTGAGAGTGGCGAGCCATCTCTACGGTGTTGAAGGCTCCATTGTCAGGGAGTAGCGGCGAGGGCTACGGCAGGCGTACAGTACCTCTTGTATATAGCTCACCTTCCTCCAGACCTCTCTCTCTTCTCTATCATCATCATCGTCATCATCATCATCATCCAATATATCACGTATAGGGCATACAGCTCCTTGTTCCTAGACATCCATGCTCCTTAAAGAGTCCGAAAGATTGCTCATAGCCGTTGTTTTAACCTTATATCGAACACTACGCGGTCCGAAGACTCAGTGCTGCAAACAAACGCGAATCTGCATGACTTCCGAGTTGATATAGAGACTTATCGGTAGGCCAAAGCGTAGGGGGCTGTGGAGTATATGAAGATAAATCTAAAAGGATAGGACTTCTTCAACGACTCGAATCCACAAAACGTACTCCATCATCAGCCGAACAATCAGACACAGAATCTTTCTATACCTCTCACGACCAACTCTCTTGCCGCTTCCACTTCGACCAGAACTTAGAAGATCCATCAAAGCCTTCAATCAACAACTTTCAATTCTCAAACTCCGAAAGTCATTCCAAATGACGAAACCTCCGTCTATACCGCCAAAGGTACCGCACACATCGGGACCTCCGGTCCAATAAGTCCAGGATCACCACAAAAGTCTGCGCAACCAAGCGTTACGTAGGCACATGTGGCCACACTATACAGCTGCCTAGCCCGACGTTCCTTTGCAAAGACGGTTTTACATACTGCCTCTTACGCACCTTCGAGGATAACTTCGACTGGAAAAAACCATGCAAACACTGTCCGGCGGGCCAAATCACGAAGGAGACATGACTTAGGGTCCTCTTGCCAGAATTGCACATCCATCAACACTATTATGAAGGGCATAGTAGCGAAAAATGGAGCGACGGGTCCAGAGACGGAGAAGAAGAGGCAGGAGGCGTACTGGAAGTATATTGCCGAGACGAGGGCGCAGAGGGAAGCGGAAAAGGAGGAGGCGGAGCAAGCGAAGAAGGTAGCGGAGAGGGCGGCTGGGACGGCTAGCCAGGGGGTTCAGAGGAGGTGACACCATTCAGATGTCATACCTGTGTTCCTTTTTCATGCACTCTTTCTTAATCTCTCATTTCGAGAGATAGCATAATGTGCTTCTAAGATTTTCATATTAGTGTTTCCGTGATACCCCAGCCTACCCGCTTTTTGTTATTTCCTTCCTTCTCATAATACACTCCCCGGTTTCTTACGGATGCCTGTATCCGGTTCCCATTTCTTTCATTATATTCAGACTTTGGATGCTTACACGGAGCTAATCGGAGGACCTTGCATTGCGGGTGTTTTGCGTGTACGGATATAGAACGCGTAGATCTCATATCCCAAGCCAATCTCCTTGTGACGGGTATGAACGAGCACCTTCCCGCTTAATCCAGATAAGTAACACTGAAAACCCGGCCCCAAAGTCATAAGTTGACTCCGACGAAGAAGTAGAGGTTGGTGAAAGGGGAGAGAAGGTGGAAGAATGGACTGAAGATGACAGAATGATGGAAAGCTAATTATATTTTCTCGAAATAAATGGTATGAAATGCAAGATATCAAACGTTGAAAATAAAATGCTCCTTAAAATGTGATGACTTTTTTGCAGATTGATGACCTCGCCCCCTCACAGCTTCGCCGGCTGCCCCAAAACCCTCAAATCGTTCCGACTTAGCTCCCCAAGACTCTTCTTTCCCATATTCCCTAACATGTTATCCGTGTCCGCCGCAATACACCTAAGCACATGCTTCACCCCCTCCTCCCCATCAATAGCCAACCCATACATGAACGGTCGCCCCACCATCACCGCCTTCGCCCCTAGCGCTATCGCCTTGAGCACATCGCTCCCCGTCCGAATCCCACTATCGAACAGCACTGTAATCCCCGATCTCTTCACTGTCTCATCCCCAGCAATCTCCGCAAGGGCATCTAGAGACGCAATCGCGCCATCCAGCTGCCGTCCGCCATGGTTGGAAACGACGAAGCCGTCCATACCATACTCAACGGCCTTTTGGGCATCCTCAACCGTCTGAATTCCCTTCAACACAATCGGGCCATCCCAGTACTTCTTAAGAATCTCGAGATGCTTCCACTCGCGATACGTCCCAGAGTTGAGGATACTCATCCACGCCTGCGCCTTCTTCATCGTCGCCGCATTCGCGACCACCTTCGCGGCGCCGGAAATAGACCCAGGACGTCGAATCGTCTCCAATGCCTCTCCTAGTCGCGTCGTAAAGCCTTTCTCCGCTTTCTCCCGTGCTAGCTCCTCCTCATAGCGTGCGTTGAATACAGGATCTGAGAGGCCGACTTCGCACCCCTGCCCATAAATAAATGGCAAATAACTCGCATCCAGGTCCTCAGGGCGCCACGCGAGGTTAAACGTATCCAACGTCACAACCAAAACCTTATACCCCTCTGCTTTCGCGCGATTTAGTAAGCTAACCGTGACCTCCTCCGCCTGCGGCCTCGGCCAGTAAAGCTGGAACCACCTCTCGCCGTCCCCATTCGCCGCCGCCACCCGCTCAATCGACCGCGTCGCCGCACTCGACAACACCATCGGGATCTTCAACGCCCTGCACGCGCGCGCCGTAGCTTCTTCAGCGTGGGGATGCATGATCTCTTGCACACCCACCGGCCCTATGATCAGGGGCCCGGGGTACGTCGTTCCGAATAGCTCCACGGAAAGGTCGCGCCGGGTGGCGTTGACGAACATGGACGGGCGCAGGCGGTAGCGCTTGAAGGCTTCGGTGTTCTCGCGGTGGGTGTCGCCGGAGCTGGCGGCGCCGAAGACGTATTTGAAGTTTGGTAGTGGAAGGATGGCGCGGGCGCGGGCTTCCCATTCTGAGGGCTTGGTGGAGATGGTGGGGGCGCGCAGAGCGGAGTAGATGGTGCGTTGGTATTGGGTTGGAGCTTTTGGGTCGGGGGTGGTGTAGGGTTGGTTGATTGATGATGGCTTTGAGGAAAACATTGTTGATTGTTGGAATGCTGGGGGATGATGGTATTGCAGTTGATCTTGATGACCTGGATGAGTGGTGGTGTAGAATAGGAGAGGCCAATTGAGATTTTTGAAGAACGCTTGTGACTACGATTTAATCGAGGGGAGAGGAAAGTATCCAACACGAGCCTAAAGATATAGAGAAAGAATAAGAAATGAGATGGAATTGATGTTTGAAGAAAGAGTTGAAGTTGAAGTTAAGCTAGGTGACTCGCCTCGGTTCTTCCTTGTTTAAGAAAAGCGTAGAACAGTGCGGGGTTAGCCCTACAGTGAATGCCCGTATCAACCGACTTAACCGAATCAACCGTTAACTATTCAATGACTTCATATTTTCAGCGGTTCTATGAGATTCCTTGCGAAGATCTATGTTCACTAATGTCTGTTTCGTGGTTTAGCCTAGTTACTACTTGTTGCTTGACGTCTTCTCGATTTGCTGTTACGAATTTTCTCTCAAGTTTTGTATTCAGATATCCCTATTTCGTCGTGTACTCTAGCAAGCCACAACTACAACACCAGAAAGCCACCCGCCGAGTGGATATACCGTTTTCTCCCGATAGACGCCTTTTGCCAAGTCTATTTTGATTTCATAATCCATTTCAAACCCAACCCAAAACATTCGCCTTCGCTTGTAGATAGCAATTTCAGAAGGCGTGGTAAATGTACAGAAGAAATTACAAGGAACTACTTAACAAACGAAATGAAGATAGTGAATAGAGTTCTACTTCCGAGAACGGCCGGCATTCTTGGTAAGCTCGCCCCAGGGATAGAAAGGAGGATAATATATGCAAGGAAAATAGTGACGGGGTGTCAGATTGGAGTCGCCATAACCCTCGAGTGCCGCGGTGACATCTTCAGATCATTAAACATCTCAAACGACATTCCCTCAGTGACAATCCGCTTCGAACCGTGAACTTGCATGTCGTAGACGCTGGTCAACGCTTGGCCTTCGTAGGGCGAGATGGCCATGAGAGTCTTAAAGGGCGATTGGACAGCGGCGAAGTAGGATTTGCGCTTCTCTGGGATAGTGAGGTTGAATGTGGACGCGGAGCCTGGAGTTTGGCGAGGCTGAGGCTCTTCTGCTTGATTTGAGGACGCGTGGGTGGACGTGGTACATATTGAAGCCGATCGAGAAATGGGGCAGTGCTTGATGGTTGAAGGGGCGGGGGAAGACAGGTAGTCATCTGCCTCGTCGTCATGATCGGCCTGGTCGGCGGGTGTATCGGGGAGCAAAAAAGATGACCCGGCCGCTGACGTCTGATAGAAGTCTAAAATTGACGGCGTCGACGTGTTCGTCGAGGTCTTTGCAAGGCCATACGGCTTCGGCTTCTCCGTGTCGCTTGTTTGGGGAATATCTTCCTCATCTTCCTCGAAAGCAGAACTGTCTCCCGGTGTGCTCCAGGCGGAGAAGCTGCTTCTCAACACCGGTGGTCTAATGAAGCCCGAATTATCGATATGACGACGCTCGTCTGGTTGAGAGCGAGACTTCCTTGGGACTTGGGAGAGGTTGGGACATGAGCGAGGATTTGGGATCGGTTGACCACCGGGCGGTGAGTTCAACGAGACCAGACGGCCCTGGATAAACTTGGCAAGGCCGGCGGAGTACATGGCTGTTGGACTGGTATTCGAACGTCCTAGGGTAGTAGTTGCAGGTGCTGATTCAATCTTGTTTTCTTTGATAGTGGATGTATTAAGTCGTCGTGGGGCTTGGCGCTGCCAATGATCTGGTACGTTTTCTATATCGTCGCTGTCGCTCTCTTCCCCACTTGATATATCCCTGTGTGCATCTTTGGATAGTGGTCGTCGTCTTGAGTGTCTAATATTATCTTGCTGATTCCTCCTGGGATCGCGGGCTGATAGCGGCCTCCTCCTCTCGGTCGCATCTTTAGATGGAGCTTGTCGTCGGTTGAGAACAGCTCGCTCGGCAGCAAACATTATAGCTGCCTCTGTTGCGGTGCATTGTAGTGGCTCGGTAAAAGGTAGAGAATTGCTTCGTTGCCTGTTGAAGGTCGGTCGCGGTGGTGTCAGCGAGAGGGTTGCCTCAGGCTGGTGCATGTTCATCCTTGGCTTCGCAGATGAGAATGTCACATGAGGACCAATATGGTTAATAGTTAAGGTTCATTTCTGAGGGTAGAGAGCGCGAGAACGGATGGGCACCAGTAAAGACAGCAAAGCGAGTTGGCGGCGTAAAGAATAGGTGAGAGAGCTGGAGGCAGCAGGAAGAAGTTCGCCTGCTGGGCGGGGAAACATGTTTCTAGCATGCCCGGTGCAACCGAAAATAGCAACTCGCATTTCACATGACGTTCTCTAGGCAAGCTTGCCCATGCTTTTGGTGGCCCACGCGCGGCCTTGTTTTCAGCAGTGATTCACCAGCCCGGATGCTCAGGGGGAAGCGCGGCCGATCAGCCAAGGTGTTCGCCAATCCATCATGCTGCTTCCCGCTAGCGTTTCGTCCCCAGCCCAATCACATTCACTGTGCTGCATAGCTACCGGATGGAGCGGAGGCGTCGCCACGCAACAATCTTGGCCTGCTCTCGGCTCTGACAGTTCGAACGCTCTAGCACTCGTACGCTGGAGTCTGCTGATTCCTCTGGAACCCCGCTCAGCCGGGCTATCGTGGCTATGCGGCAGCCCTTGGGACGAGGGCGAAGCTGAGTCTTCAGGCCGCCCGGAACGAAAGGGAGATGCTGTCATGGAAGCTGCTTGGGCCATCCGAAGGGGGAAAGCTGTCTGTCCCGCAAGGCTGATCCCACTTCAACATTCCCCAAGCGTTTCGCCAGCGATTGATAGGCGGCATATGATATGTGTGGCTGAGAGCGATCTTCGCTACCATGCCACTGAGTTGGACCCATTTCCAAGTGCAGGGCTGGAAGGAGTTGCTCCGTGGTGGAACCGCAGCGGTGGGCGACGCGCTGGCCCGCATCTGCATATGACAGGGCGGCATCGCGATCGAATGCCTGGGATCGGCATGTGCTGCGTGCTCGCTCTCCATACGAACAGTGCTGCGTGTGCGCTGGGTCCAGCATTTCAAACGGTACACACGTGGAGTGACGCCATTCCAGAACTCCTTATATTAAACATGCGAAACCCCATGAATGCCATGATGTCGACGTGCTGGCCAGCGGCTACCGCTGCCCGATTTGGCCTTATCAGAGGTAAGCTGCCGTCTCTCGTCTGCAATATTCCACAAACTCATCCGCGGCGTCTCTTTGGACGTTTGCGACAGGCGCCTTTTTTTTAACAGCGCCCTTTCCTTTACCAGCATCATCCTTTTTGTTAGTAACGCTAGCTGCGTCGCTTTTGCTAGCTTCTTTTTGACCAGCAACGGGTTTGCCAGCATCTCCCTTGCCAATGTTATTTTTACCATCGTATTCCCTAATTTTGAGAGCATCGTCAATATCCCTCCTCGTGCGAGACATACATCCCCAAGGCGCAAAGTATTTTCCATTGTGCCAGGCCGTCAGTTCGGGCGAGAGACCACAATACAGTTCAGTGTAGGCGCCTTTTTCGGGAGTGTACAGGATAAGGCGCTGCAGGAGCTCCGATCCGCTCATATGCCACCCTGATTCGGTGAAGCAGTTGCCAGGATTAAAACACTGCAATCGATGAATTCGTTAGCACCAATAAAAGCGCCTCTATTGGGGGCGTACGTGGGACGAGTAAGACTTACCACGCTAACAATCCCACTGCCCTCCACCTCCTTCGCAAGCCCGTGTGCCAGGAAGAGGTTGCCGGCTTTGCTCTGGGCGTAGTTTTGGAGCTGACTCCACTGTGGCACTGGTTTCGCGTCTTTGCCGTTGCCATCGGTGCCTTCGTCCATTTCCACGCCCCCGGTCGGCGCGAAGAAGACGATAGAAGACGCACCGGCCCATAGGACGCGCACGGTGTACAGAGGGGCTATCGCGGCTGTTTTCTGCAATAACTAACGGCTTCAGAAGCTCGGTCAGCAAGTAGGGCCCGAGACAATTCATGCCCAACTGCATTTCATGCCCTTGCTTCGTCTGACTTCCCACCGACGGCGTCATCACGTCCGCATTGTTCCAGAGGACATCTAAGCGGGATTCGCGGTCGGTGAGGGCTTTTACGGAGGCTTTGATGGATGTTAGATCCCCGAGGTCAAGGTATAGACCATGTATACGACCCAGTGACGCAGGGTGGGCGGCTTTAATTCTCTTAATGGCAGCTTCGCCTCTCTCGACGTTTTGCGAGGTTAGATAGACGGACCCGTGCCTTGCGTAGAGTATTCTGCATAAATGGTAGCCGATTCTAGTATCACCGCCGGTTACGAGAAGCACTTTCCCGCCTAGGTCGGGGACATTCTTCTCGGTCATCGGTGGCTCGGGGATCCAAAGGCATTGGTACGCCAGGACGTTTAGGTAGGTAGGAAGATTGTGAAACATATCTGAACTGCGAGTTAGGATATCGTTAGTAACACGCAATAGTTAGCGGGGAAAATCGATGCTTCAATGGCTGCCGAACCGCAATCATAGGTTTGAAAGCCATCTCGAGTTTATGAAAGCGCTTTCTCATGCTTCAAAGGCACCGATGTGCCGAAGGACAAAGGAATGATCGCCGCTGTCCCTGGTTGCCAATTCCATCATCGTGCGTCCAGCGTAAGCATCCTTCGCAGATCTGTGGGATGAGATGAAACAGACGCGGGCGCAGGCATTCCTTCATGGGTGCACATGTGGCCGTTTGCGAATTGCTGGGGCCAGAGATAACATCGGCTTTCATCGATGCCAAGAACCATCACATAAAACTCATGTGATAAATGTCACCAAATTCATCCCACAAGTTCGAGGATTCGAGGTATTTATAGACCTGTTCATTCAAAGGACAACGTCTGCCACAAAGAGCCCCGTGCCGAAGATTTACCAAGCACGCAAGGACTTCTGAGTCTCGGCCCATTATCCAACCATCTCCTCTCCAAAGCAAGACCGCATCGCATGAACGTCGGTAGATGCCACAATCGAAATAGCATGGAAAAGCAGATTTGGAAAGACAGCCCTTACCTAGAATAGCCGTGGTATATCATAAAATCTTTCTGTAATCAGTAAACCTGCGGGTAAAAATTCACACAAATCATGCATGAACTAGCTTCTTAACCAGTCTCATTAGTATCTATTTCACTTTGTCCACAAACTGTTTTTCCTCTTCGAACTTTGATAGTGAGCGACACGCTCCGTACGGACCTCTTCCCCGCGGTACAATTCATCAACCAGCCTATGACGAATGACAGCTTCCTCCCAGTCCGGATACTCAGATGTCTTCTTGTCCGCAAAGACTTCGTACATTCGCGCGACATTAGGAGCAGAACCCGGAAGCTTGTCCCACTCATCTTGCTCCAGAGTAATCTCTTCGACCTTCCTAGTGGAGATATCTTGGACCTCGATCTTCGTGCCGTTATTCCCAATCTGCACAGAAGGACTGGGACCTTTGATCTGGATCTCGCCTGTTTCGCCGTAAATACGCCACAGCATGCCCTCAGTGCCGGCAAATGCCTTGCCGCCTCGGAGATGGTATGAGAGAAGAGCTCCTGATTCGAGATGGCCTTGAATAAGGATTTGATCGTGGGAGGTACGGGTGGTGGTGCCAACGACTTTAGCTTCGGGGTCTGAGACTTGCTTGTCTAGGAGGTCGACTTTGGGACGCTTCACTTCTAGGATGGAGCTGTAGGTCTTCAGCTCGCCGAGAGCGTAGAGGAGGCCATAAAACCCTGAACAATAGAATGCGTTAGTTCAAATCTTAGGTGCAAGAGACAGGAACGGCATCCATCTTGGAGGATAACTTGCCATGAGAGAAGTGAATCGTCACCAGATTTCCACCAACCTCCTTATGATTGAGATACTCGTACTTCTCCATCTCAGCTGTTCCAAGATTGTGCGCAGCTCCAACGAAGGACACACTGAGCACCTTTCCAATGCGCCCACTGTCCACAATCTCCTTGATCTTCTTCACCAACGCAGACTGCCTCGCCTGCAGACCCACCATCGTACGCACCGCCTTCTTCTTCGCCAGCGCAGCAAGCTCCAGTCCCTCTTCTAGATTCTTGCCCAATGGCCACTCGCAGTAGACATCCTTTCCAGCTTCCAAAGCGGGCTTGATGGCATCATAATGGCGGTCCACTCGGACCGAGCACACCACTAGGTCGACATCTGAATCACTCGCAAGGTCTTTGTAAGCTCCGTAGGCTTTCGTTGAAGCCGGGAGGTCGTGTGCCTTGATAGCAGCTTTGGCAGATTCAACCGAGGTATTGCAGAGGGCGACAATGGTATACTTTTCGCTGGCCTTGAGGTATGGTAGATGAGCTTGAGACGCCCAGCTACCGGCAGCGCTGAGACCAATAAGACCAATTCGAATTCGAGCCATTGTAGTCGTTGCTTTGAAGCTGGAGGGGAGGTTAACACGTCAAGAGAGGGGTCGAAGGGGAGGGGGGATGTATGCAATGGTGCCATGCATTATAAATCGTCAAAAAACGCCCCACGTGTGATTACTAGTAGCACTGCTCTGGACAATGCAGCATGGCGGTATCCATTCTAATGCAGTATGCCCAATGCGCGTGTGAATACCATGACAGTGATGCCGCTGGTGAAGCGTGGATGTGTAGAACCGCCTGGGCCGTTTAGAGTACTCGACGGCATCCCGCGTTCCCGATCTCGGAACGCCAGCAACTCACCCTTCATTTCGACAACTACTCGCAATTCACTGCAATTGAACAGACTACTCCCTATACATCTCAAGCTACAGCCTTGATAAAAGCCACAATGTCCGCTCCAAACCCACTACCCACCTACGTCTACAAAATTCTCCCCAGCGCCCCACCCAAGCCTCTCCCCGATGTCCTCCCCCTCTCCGACCTCGACGCCAACGACGGCTTCATCCACCTCTCCACCGCATCTCAGGTTCCAGGCACATGCGGACGCTTCTTTGCCGATGCGACTGAGCTATGGCTGCTGAAGATCAGGCTGCAAACGCTAGAAAATGGGACTGGAGAGGTGCGGTGGGAGGCTGCGGGGAATTCCGGAGTCTTTGCACATCTGTACGGCGGAAAGTTTGGGGCTGAAGAGGTGGATGAGAGCTTAAAGGTCGTGAGAGGGGCAAAGCCGTGGGAGGTTGTGCTTAAGGGGGTGTTGGAGGACTAGATGGCTGTGGAGGCGGGTCCGGAAGGCGTTGTGTGATGCTGAGACGGCATTGGAAAAATAATGAGAGGCTCAGCCTTTGGGAAGAGTGCTTCCTCGCTTTCTTGGGTCGATGCATGGGTCGAATCACGGTTCCACTCTTCACCTTGTTCAACGAGACCCAGACGGCTTCGGTACCGGGGAGCATCAAGGCAGAGCGAATCACGATTCAACTCGAGGATATTTCTTAACCCGCCGCTTGCGCAATTTTCTTCATAAACGCTGTTCTGACATCTGATCCGAAGGCTGATGGCGTCCTCCAACGCGACCCGCATGGAACCTGGAATACCGCAAATTAGAGCCCATGGACCATTCTCTTTACAACGATTCATTGGGCACTCAATGCCCGACCGGCTTGTTCTTGAGTTATGCCACGTATGCTCGTATCGCTCCCAAATACGACCCCGGTGCTTCGAGGGGACGACCTTGGGTCGGCTCTATCGCCAAAAGCTTATTGTGCACACACATTAATCCCGCTGTCATCTCTTTTCTCTTGTGCTAATGTGATTTTACCTAGACGCAAAGCTAGTATGAGAGCACAAGAGCACAAGGCCACGAGAGTTGCGGGTTTCAGTCAATGCACGAATGACGGATGCGCGAGAAAGCACCAAACAGTTGAGGGAGAGACTATCTTCGATTTCACTTTTGTCTTTTGCTATGACTGACCAACAATCTCAGGTCTCCAACCGTGTCCATACACTTGCAGCGAAAGAATGCCGACCACCGCCTGACCAGTATCGCCGTCCATCACCACCAGACACACCCACCAGTACCTGCCACCGCTCTTAATCCGGTGGCAGCATCGTGTGAGTCGGTAGATCGTGGGATGATGGCGGTTCATTGAAGTCGATGTTCGAATCGACAGTCCCTACGAGCGCGTCATGTCAGCAAGGGCCCGGGAGACTTCGAGGCAGCGTTCGGAGACTCACATGGAGCAATGATGATCAATCTGAGCTTCACTTGCGTCAAGAGAAAGGCATGCCGAAGACGGGTGCGCGAAATCGATCGATCTGACGAGTACGGCAAGTCAGCAATGGTCTCGAAAGATGATAGCACGGTTCAAGGACTCACTTGAAGCAATGATGATCAAACTGAGCTTCAGTCGTGTCGATGGCAAAGGTCCATGACAGAATGGTGCCCGAATCGATCGATCTGATGGGCACGGCATGTCAGCAATGGCCTCAAAGGATGACGATATGGTTCGGGGACTTACTTGAAGCGATGATAGTCACTCTGAGCTTCACGTCGCTTCGGTGACTTGGTTGACAACCACCATGAGTGGGTTTGGACCTGTTTCTCGCCAGGATCAGGCTGGCAAAAAAAAAATGTGCAAAACGTTTTTGGGGGGGGGGGGGGGGGAAGGTCCAAAGTTCAGAGGTTATTTATCGAGTTTGTCTTCATAGCCATCACGGCTCAAGAGATGAAAAGCTTTCCTCCTCGTGGGATCATCATGTAGAGCGGACGGGAATCGGTTAGGAAAGACGGGGGTTACCTTGAGGTAGCTCGAGTTAGCATTGAGCAGGGGACTCAGATCGGGATGAAAAGCACACTTACCTTGCCATGATGAGGCCTCCTGCTACGGGACCATGGCTGAGCTCGGTAAGCGGTGTCGACTCGAGCGGGAATCGATCGGTCGGTCGGCCGGCCGGTCGGTCGATGGTGTGGTGGTGGTGGTGTGGTAAGAGACGTTGGTCGATGCAACAACAAGTTGGGGCAGGGGATTGGTGAGGAAGAAGAAGAGGAGAAGAAAAGGAGAAGGCGAGCTTTTATGGGCGGGCAGGCTTAGTCAAACGTCAACAGAGGAAGTAGAAGCTGCGTTGACCATTGCCTTGCCTTGTCAACCAAGTTATTCCTTCCTCGTCGTTCAATCTCCCCTGCTGAAAGTAATGGTCTGGAAAGTAATCGCAAATTCTGTCAGGGGCGCTACGGGGTGTTGCAACTTCTACGAGCAGTATGACGAAGCGATCTCCTATTGACTCCTAGGTAATGCGCAAGATATCCGCAGACAACATTACCAGATCCCGGAGTACACGTCTTCTCTTTCAGGAGTCATCTATCTCCCTTCACGTATCATTGAGGGGTTTCCCAAATAATCAATTTTTCTATACTCTGTTTGCATGCACGATTTTTAGTGGGCTGAGTCTCGGTATAGTAACAGGCCATGAGTATATGTACACTCGTTCCCCACCGCTTGAGGCACTCCCATGTAGTCCCAAAGAACCAGAAGCAATGTCAAATATTATACGGTGGATTTCGAGCTGCCTCTTGACCGGCTAGCGTCCTCGCGACGGGGCTGCTCCAGACAGTGATGTCTAGCTGCCAAGTCCTAACGCTCTGATGCTGGGTTTCCATGGTACACCACGACCACAATATCATGCTACCAACGGCCATACAGAGCCCGGGGTCTTGCCGCGCTCTGATGCACGCTCTTTGGTACGAAACGAGCGATCGAGTCACCTACATTTTCGCACACTTGACTCCAAAACCACGCACAACCACGCAACCGCTGCAAGCTTCATCAAAAACTACTCAACGCCCTTTACCCTACTCACAAAACCCTTTACTCTGCTCACGACTCAGCTCGTAACATCACCCCTTTTACCACCACTCAAACCTCCAAAAACCAACAAAACCAACAAAATGGCCATCACCCGCTACACCATCACCACGGCCAACGCCGTCCACCACGTCCAAGTAACGCACAACAAAACCATCATCCTCATCCGCGTCCCGCCCGCCATCGTCCACGCAAAGCGTACCTACTGCTTCTGCGAGCAAGACCACTACGACCACACGATGACGCTGCGCTGCCAGGGCCCGAATGGCAAGAATAAGGGGTGCCCCTTCAGCGGCTTCTTTCACAAAGAGCACGCGGCGTATGAGCACAAGCAGCTAGGGACGCTGAGAGCGTTTGGGATCAGAATGAGGGATAATATGTCCTTTTGCTCAGCGTGTCGGGATGCGTATGATGCGAAGACGGAGGAGTTGAAGGAGGAGTTGAAGGGGGTGGGATGGAAGGTGGATAAGTATAGGAGGTGTTTAGAGACGGTGGGGTTGAGAGATTGGGATGTGGAGGTTAAGGAGGAGGGTGAGGATGAGGGATACTATGGGGGCTCAGAGAGGAGCTCAGAGGAGGACCTAGAGGGTGACTCAGAATGGGATTCGGAGGGGGACTTAGATGAGGACTCGAAGGGGGACTCGGAGGGAACGTTGGACTCAGAGGGGACGATGGAGGCAGAGAATGTGCTGGAGCCGAAGAGATTCGTTCATGTAGGGGTTTTATAAGTAGATGTGGTGGCTTTGGGGCTTCAGGCGCTTTTGTTACTTTAGCAGGTTGTTTAGATATAAGGCGCTCTGGTGGAAACTTGGATTCGGAGTTTGCGATGGAGGCTAGATTGGATACTCTTGCAATGATGGCTGCATATACCTCAGATATTTTGGGAGGAGTATAGAGTAGATCGTGATATGACGCATAGAATGTAATAGTCACAATACCACAAATCAGGTCATTGAATTTTATACACATGTAACTGCGATGAGAAGTGCTTCTGTACAATCAATATACCAAGTAAAGAATTTTGAACTATTAGTGCTAATAACCTGAGCCCTGCTTGCTCGCAAATGAAACTCTAGCCGACACCATTAGGTTCACTTCAACAGATAGAAATAAATTCAAGCACAATGTTCTTTCTATAGCACCTGGAATCAAACTATCTAGTGTAAGCATGTCTTTCTGGGCAGTTGCACAGTTGAGGAGCCATCCAATAGCCTAAAAAGATGAAGTGACGGCCCGCGCCGCTACTAGAATTTGCCGCCTCAGACAGCTTTTTCTCAGCCCTACCCGATTCTGTACGACTTTCCCAAGTCACTCAACTCGAGTCCAAATCTAAGCAGAAAATAATAGAGCATAAATCGAGTCCTGTGAATGATTGAAGAGTCCTGAGTAACACGGAATCTAACACCAAAGGCCTCCGGTGAACTATCAATCGGTTCGGATTTTCTCTGCATGATGCTGTCTAACTAGATTTGCAAGCCTTGACCGCACAAGCGCAAAGCCGAGGGGCTGAGTGGCTGCCGGACGGACCCCAAGCGTTGGGCGGCGGCGACGGCGACCCTCCAAAAGCCTGGAAAGCCAAGAAAAATTATTTCCTCAGTCAGCCCCTCCACCGTTTCGTTTCTCGCCCTTCCGGCTCTCCCTTCTCTCCTCCACCTACAAAAATCTCCACTCTACCCCCTCGAGAGTGCAGGCCGCTCTGATCTGGTTTTACTCCGGTAGAACTACCCTTATCCTCAGAGCGCCGCCCGCGCCTCATAGACGAGACGTCTGTTTTCTCGCACAAAGACTTCTATCGATAAGACTGCGAAATCCTTTTACCAGCGGCCCGCACACCGATACAGCCTACACTCACTCTCCTTCGCATCCCACCTGTGGGAGATGCCACATCTCGACTCGCCACCCATGGCCCCAGCTATTGTGGTCAAATCCGCCGAGTCGTCCACTGTCCCCCCGACCCAAGATGAAGTCTCGTCGGTCCTCTCCGCCATTTTCACGGCCAAGACCTCGCAAGCCTCTCTCGACAATTCTTATGCCCTCACCACTCTCCTCCAGAATTCGGTCGGCTTCCGCGGCCTGAAAGGATATGGCGTCCTTGAGGAGATCAAAAAGGCGGCTGGCGATAAGAAGAACCCGGCTCGTAGAGAAGGTGCCATGTTCGCACTTGGTGCCCTCTTCGAGCGCTTCCCGCGGGCTCAGAAACTCAGTGAGGTTGTCTTCATGCTGCAAGAAGAGTACCTAGTTCCGCTAGCTCTCGACGCCCTCTCGGATAAGACTCCTACTGTCCGAGAGTCAGCCGCGTATGCTTTGGATGCGCTTTTCGATAACCTTACACCCGAGGGCAAAGTTGACGGACTTCTGCCAGTCTTGGCCAAATACTTGGGCAAGAAGTCCGGAAAATGGCAAGGTACTGTCGGCGCCTTCGAACTGTTGGGTCGCATGGCAGACAAAGCGAAGATGGGAATGGGAAGTTTTGAGGAAGAGAAGGAGAAGGATATTCTCCGCGAGTCCATGGGCAAGAAACTCGAGGGTCTCATTCCTATCGTGGAAAGCGGAATGCACGATCTTAAGCCAGAGGTCAGTATCTATCAATTCTAGGATTCAAGACGTCGCTAATCATATACAACAGGTCGGAAAGCAGGCCTCGAAAACCATGACCGGTCTTACCACACTCCTCCAAAACGACGACGTTGCGCCCCGAATTCCCATCTTGATTAAAGCGATGGAGAATCCTTCTACACAGGCTCAACAAAAGGCGATCCACGCTCTATCGCAGACTACGTTCGTGGCTATTGTCACTTCACCAGTCCTTGCGCTGCTTACACCTCTTCTCGAGCGATCCCTAAACACTCCTTCCACATCGCAAGAAGTTCTGCGGCAGACAGTTGTAGTCGTAGAGAACTTAACAAAGCTCGTTCACGATCCCATCGAAGCCCGCGCTTTCTTGCCGAAGCTGAAGCCCGGTGTCACGTCTGTGGTCAACCGCGCTTCTCTTCCTGAAGTCCGAGAAATCGCCGGAAGAGCACTGGATGTCATTGAGAATGCCATGGCTATCAAAGACGAGGTCAATGCTGATGCCATCACCCGAAAGGTGCCAGCTGATGTCACGCCGGTTCTGGAAAAGCACATCAACTCCGTCGGAGGTCTTCAGAATTTTCCTGGAGATGCAGAGGTTCTCGCCCTCGCCAAGGGCTACATCGCGGAAATGGTCGCGGAAGATGTCAACCAGCGTCAGCTTCAGCGGATAGTGGCTTGCATCGAGCCTTACCTATCTCCGTTGATGAACGGTGATTCTGGTGCTAAAGTCGCAGAATCTGTTCATAAGTACTACGTCGATGAGGACCATCGCAAGTTCGGCCAGCCCGTCAAGGAAGACGATGGCGAAGTCGAGATTGTCAACGCAACTTTCTCTCTCGGATACGGTGGTATGCTCTTGCTCTCTCACACGAACCTCAGACTGCTGAAGGGCCATCGCTACGGTCTCTGTGGGCGAAACGGTGCCGGCAAATCAACGTTGATGAGGAGTATCGCTGGCGGCAAACTTGAGGGATTCCCTCCTCAGGATCAAGTCAAGACCTGTTTCGTAGAGCACAACCAGGGCGAAGATGCGGACCTCAGCATTCTCGAATTCGTCTCCAAGGATCCTGATGTTAGTTCCGAAGGCCAAGATCGCGTTATCGCGGTTCTCGAAGAAGTCGGCTTCAGTTCCGGTCCTGAAGGCAGACAATCCCACAAAGTCGGCTCCCTGTCCGGCGGTTGGAAGATGAAACTGGCTCTGGCTAGAGCTATGTTGATGCGAGCTGATGTTCTACTTCTCGACGAACCTACCAATCACTTGGACGTTGCAAACGTGAAGTGGCTTCAAGACTATCTCAAGTCTCACACCGAAATCACTAGCTTGATCGTCTCTCACGACTCCGGTTTCCTGGACGATGTGTGCACTGACATCTACCATTACGAGCAAAAGAAGTTGATTTGCTACAAGGGCAATCTTGCTGCTTTCGTTAGGCAAAAGCCCGAAGCTAAGAGCTACTACACGCTTTCTGCTTCCCAGGTCTCTTTCAAATTCCCGCCTCCTGGTATTCTTACTGGTGTCAAGTCGATGAGCCGATCTATCCTACGCATGAGCAACTGTACCTACACCTACCCTGGAGCATCGAAGCCTTCTCTCCACGATGTCAGCTGTTCGCTTACGCTGTCGTCCCGAACTGCTATCATTGGTGCTAATGGTGCTGGTAAATCTACTCTCATCAAAATTCTCACTGGCGAAGTCGTTCCTCAGGAGGGTAAGGTTGAGAAGCATCCTAACCTACGTATCGGCTACATCAAGCAGCACGCTCTGGAGCACGTCGAGATGCACATGGAAAAGACTCCCAACCAGTATTTGCAATGGCGTTACGCCAACGGAGATGATCGCGAGGTGCTGATGAAGCAGACTCGTGTCATGTCCGCTGACGAGAAAGCCCAGATGGACACGCCAGTTGACATTGGTGATGGACAAGGTGCGAAGAAGATTGAGGCTTTGATTGGTCGCCAGAAGTACAAGAAGAGCTTTCAGTATGAAGTGTAAGTGCTTAACTGTCTTTAGAGTTTAATACTTACAAAAGCTAACACATTTTCAGGAAATGGGTCAACATGCTTCCCAAGTACAATACCATGATCTCTCGCGAGACTCTCCTGAAACTCGGCTTCCAGAAGCTTATCCAGGAATTCGACGATCATGAAGCTTCCCGTGAAGGTCTCGGTTTCCGTGTCCTCGAGCCCAAGGTCATTTCCAAGCACTTCGAGGATGTCGGTCTGGACCCCGAAATCGCCAACCACAATGAGATCTCCGGTCTCTCCGGTGGCCAGAAAGTCAAGGTCGTCCTTGCTGGCGCCATGTGGAACAACCCCCATCTCCTCGTCCTCGACGAACCGACCAATTTCTTGGACCGCGACTCTCTCGGTGGTCTCGCCGTCGCCATTCGCGACTACAAGGGTGGTGTCGTTATGATCTCCCATAACGAAGAGTTCGTTGGCGCGCTCTGCCCCGAGCAGTGGCACGTCGCCGACGGCCGCGTTATGCAGAAGGGCTTCCTCGCTGTCTCCATGGACCGCTTCGAAGACTCCAGCCGTCCCGGTAGCAGTGTTGCTAGCTCTAACGTCTCATCTGCTGCTGTGTCCGCGGCTGCTAGTGCTGTCAACTCTGAAGCGGAAGGGAATGGGGATATGAAGTTCCGTGCGCGCAAGAAGAAGAAGTTGACCCGTGCGCAGTTGAAGGAGAGGGAGGTTAGGCGTCGTTTGAGGCATATTGAGTGGCTTAATAGCCCTAAGGTACGTGCTATTACTCTAATCCCGCGACTCTACGAAAGACGAGTACTAACAACTTCTATTAGGGCACACCCCACCCCCCAGACTCCGACGATGAAGCATAGACAATGTCATATTGTCACGACAATGTAATCATGAAAATCACTGATTTCGATTTGGTCATTTCTCATGGGACCGACTGGCTTATAGAAAACGAGCTTTGGCTCCGTGGTTTCTTTCTAAGTTTCTGATTCACTTGCATTTCTCGGCGTCACTTATAGATTGGGGGCTTGGGTCTGACCGTTGACTTGCTTTTTTTCGTCCGGATAATGTGAAGGGGTTGGTTGGGTATGGATGACACTTCTTCTATAGACGGGTGGGTTGTTCGGTCGTATTTTGATGCTGAGTACGATACCCACCCCACACGATGGTTTCCGGTTGTGTGTTTACGATCGGACGGAGGATGGTATGAGAGGACTTGCGCGGAGGCTCGATACCTACGTCTGTCTTATAGAATTTGAGACGTGTTTCTTTGAGGTGGTGTGTTGAATGTGGGCGATTGGTTGTTGTTCACGTGACTATTCGATCTTTTCTACTATAAAAATTTGCTCACTTCCTTACACACTTCTTCAGTCAGAAGCAGCAGGGTTTGAGGTCAGCAAAAAGAAATGGAACAGCCGTTGATAGAGTTCTGTCGCCTGTTCGTCAAATTAAGCTCGGTAACCCAGACATGGTGCAGCGGGAATCTGGATTGAATAACTCCATGGTAAACTTCAAATGAGCGCTGTGAACATTTAAATTATACCGGTAATGCTCTTTACCAATTGTTCATCGTCCAACTCTCTATCGCTTGTAACTTCGCTGCGATGTATCAGTCTCTTTTTCTACTCCTCCTCGTCATTCAAGAGCAAGAGATGAAGATCACCACGACTCTTGACCGGACCTCCACCCTCCATCGTTCCTCTTCAGTCGTGTTTTGATCCCCAACTCCACCACACCATGGCATTCCAGCCTTCCAATTTTTGATCCCCCGCCCCAACCAACCACATTGTCTGCGGCGATCTTGTCTTTTGATCCTCCGCGCCATACCCTTCGTCGTAATCTGGTTTGATCCTCCACCCTAGCTACTCCATGGAACTAGAATCCCCACGTGTTTAACAACTTCCCACTCTCCATGGCGCGTTGGACAGGGTATTTTGCACCGCCCATCACGACTCCAGCACGCCATTGGCTTCTTTCTGCAGTGCGTTCGAGCAAGTCCAAAACCATCGCCGGAAACTTCTGGGGAGCTTGAGAGGTGGGCGCTGGCGGGGGGTTTATATACCTGTCGGAGACAGAAACTAAGCGAGGGCACGTGAGGGTCACACGACATCGGCAGGTAGGCAGCGGGCGAGAACGTGATGTGAAGGGGGTTGGGGAAGAGGGAAGGGGAGGAGGTCAGTTGAGATTCACGTGCGGTCGATTTCGTCTGGGTCTAAAACATCCTCCGCCTTTGTGGACGACGAGTCTTTTGCAAGGAGGAGGTGGCATGGGGGAGAGCAAACCCATAGGACACTCGCACCTATGTGCGCTGCGAGTTCTGCAAACCGCTAACGAGAGGGGTTTGCAATGGTGTGGTGGAGTCTGGGTCGGCTGTGCAAAACTACCACAACAATAAGTTCACGGGCTGCGTGGAGGGGAGCAAAAATGTCCGATCGGATGGTACCATGTGCGTTGGTTGCTCTGCGAAACTTACACTGATGGACGCCGCATGGCGTGGGAGTTTGGGTGGTCGTTTCCGGAAGCATCATGGATTGGACGAAGTGGAGTCTTCAAGTCGACGATGCTGCTGATAACCATCTAGTAATCCAAATCCCTCATTCATTTCCAAAAACTTAATATATAGCAGCAGCTCCATTACCCTATACTCCTCGTTTCCCTCCGTCGAAAACGGTCATAATCACTACACCTAAATCTCGACGGCAAGCGCCAAACTCCCCACCAGCCCTCCCCATCTGATGATTGTCTTTGCGGTTTCAACCACGCCCGCTTCCACCACCCACCCATCAGCCATCATCATGTCCAGTGTTACAGCTATCACGGCATTCGCTCGTCCGTTTTACTAAAGAGCAAAACCAAATAACGGCCGAGACCATTGCTTGCCTCGCCTTTTTTGTTTGCACCTCCCGACTCCACCACAACATTGTTCGTGAGTCCCTTGTATATTGAACAAGTCCACGTCCCTATCCAAAACCACTGAGGAACTCAAGACGCGGGAGCGGGCGAGGTATTTATAGGAGATGCGGAAGGATGTGGAGGTGAGGCACGTGAGAGTCACGAGACGTTTGGACGTAGACGGTATGGACAGGAGGGGGGAAGCGTAGTGAAGGGGGAAGTGGGAATCCGAAAGGAAGGGAGAAGTCCGGTGATACCCACGTGATAATCTACTTCTCCTCTTTCAGGAGGTATAAAATCCCACTCGAACTTCTCACATAGTTCTTTCACGCAGAGGAAGCGGAGGAGCAGAGGAGTAAAAACAGGTTGACCTTTCCTACTATGTGTGTGGAGAGCTCTTGGTCAAATCCGAACATACGAACCCGTTATGGTGCTGTTGGAGGAGTTTGGGGGAGTAAAGATACGCAGATCGTATATGCCATGTGTGGCGGGTCATTCGTCAAATACCGCGACAATCCCACTTAATGGTAGTCGGAGGAGGATCTTGGTGGAAGTGTCAAACTCAAAAGAAAGAAGAAGATGATGGCTGTTGTGCAAATATTCAAACTCAGAGATGCTGCTCACTACTCCAGGTCTTTGTTTCTTAACACCCTTTTCCCCTACTTCCCATTTCCGTCTAGACCGCGTCGTGCTCCCAACCACCAAAAGCCAAAGCGGCACCGCCACCACTCTCCCGACCATTGTTCCTTGAAGCTCGTTGTTTCAAACGCACGCCGACTCCCCCACTCCATTGACGTCCCCGTATCCTGGGTTTATAAACATTCGAATGTTGAAGCCAATGGTTTTGCTCGACGCGAGACCAGACACTGGCGGGACTTATCGTGTGTCGAACCCAATGTTTTTGCACCTCCCAGCTCCCTCCAACATCGAAGTGGATGCAATACGTTGTTGATTACAACCCACCGAAACCTCTGAGGAACTGAAGAAGCCGGAGCTGGTGCAGCTTTTATAGGAGACGGAAAACGAGATGAGCGATGAGCGGGAGTCACGTGGAGACCAGCTGACCAATTCCCTCAACATCCCCAGAGCGTTGATTGACCACTCCATACTCCCATTCGTTTCGAGCACGCAAACACGGCATCCAAACATGCGCACCTCAATTTCCTAATCATTCTTTTCAAACTGATTCAATTGAGACCCTGGCACTCTAGCTATCTATTATATACAAGACATCTCGTTTCTAGCTTCTTTCGTTCATCCACTCTTTTCGTGCTCTCCTTACGCGCCAATCTGCTTCAAAATACCAGCCAGGTTGATACTCTTAGGCCTCTCAATAGGTAGACCCAGCGCACGATCCCAAATAAGCTGAGCAAGCGGGCCCAGGCCACGCGACACGCCGAAGGTGGCCGTGTAGTAGAGGGTCTCGTGGAAGCCGTAGTGGTGGAAGAGCACGCCGGAGGAGGAGTCGACGTTGGGGAAGGGGTTCTTGGTCTATCGCTCACATTAGCATTCATCCCTCCAAACCTCATAATTGTATAGAAAGGGGCCATATCTCACCTTTCCATGCTCAGTCAACACGCCCGGCGCAACCTCCGAGTTCTTCCTGACGAGCTGGTAGACCGGGTTCTTCGCGATATCAGGTCTGGCATCCGCAAAGTCCATCAGCGCCTCGAAGCGAGGATCCGGTTTCCGCAGCACGGCGTGGCCGTAGCCGGGGATCACGCGGCCGGACTTGAGGATGCTCCAGAGGTAGTCGGAGACGTCCTTCTCGGAGAAGTTCTCGCCGACGGCCTCTTGCATTTGCAGGATGAAGCGGAGAACTTCCTGCGCGGCGAGGCCGTGGAGGGGACCGGCGAGACCTTGCAGACCGGCGGAGTAGCTGAGGAAAGGGTCGCTGAGCGCGCTGCCGACCAAGTGGGTAGCGTGGGCTGAGACGTTGCCGCCCTCGTGGTCACCGTGGAGCGCGAGGTATAGACGGAGGAGGTCCTGGAAGCCCTCGTTCTCCTTGCCGGCCTTGCCCAGCATGGCGGCGAAGTTGTAGGACCAATCCTGCTCGAGGTCGATCTGGGCGGGGAGAGCTCCTCCACCGCGGTACGCGTTCTGGTAGATCTTGGCCGCGATGGTGGGCAGCTTCGCGAGCAGGCTGATGCAGTCGTCGAAGGTGGGCTCCCAGTAGTCGGCCTTGTTGATGCCATCAGCGTAGGCTTTGGCAAATTTGGACTCGTAGTTCAGGGCGGAAACAGCGCATGCGAACTGCGTCATTGGGTGCAGGTCCGTGGGGAAGTCGTCGAGCATCTGCTCAACGAACTTGGGAAGTTGGCCCTTCTCAGCCAGCTCGCGGGAGAGAGCGCGGGTTTGGCCCACGGAGGGCACCTCGCCGGTGAGGAGTAGCCAGAACATGGCTTCCGGTAGCATTTCAGTGCCGGAGGTGCCCTTGGGGAGCTCTTTTTGGCAGTCCTTGATCGTCTTGCCGTGGAAACGGATACCTTCGTTGGCGTCTAGGACCGATCCTTCCCAGATCATGGCCTTGAGGCCTCTAGAATTGAGTTAGTGCTTGCTAAAAGTGAATAACTGTGATCCCGCGTGTACCTCATGCCGCCCAAGGTGTTCTCAACCTTGACCTCGCCGATGACCTTGTCGCCATTGGCCTTGACCTTCTTCAAGAGCTCTTTCTTCGCAGGCAGGACCTTCTTGAAGGTCTCCTTGAGATCCGGCTCCGAGGATGTCGCATAGCTGCAGCTCTGGACTGTGGTAGGATCAGCGTCGTGCGTCGGCTAGGTACAGCTTCAATGGACCTACCCGCAGCAAAAGGTCTCAGCGTAGACGGCTACGCACTTCATTAGCCACATATTCGAGTTTCTGCAGGTCTCTAGCACACACCTTGACAGCCCTCAAAGCTCTCGACGCGGTTCTCGCGCTCAATGCCATCGTGAGTGGAGTGTGGGGTAAGTACAGCGGGGTAGCTGTAGGTGTTTAGAGTTTGTGGGGAGGCGACACGTCTCTCTTCAAGCTTTCACCGGGCGCGGGGCGGCAATTGGGATTATAAGAGAAGAAAATTTGCGGGATCAGAGGCCAGCAGATCGCGACCTGGATGCCGTTCGAGCGTTCATGTGGTTCAACAAGCTCGGCAATGGCCGCAAGACGGTCTGGCGGGATGGTTACTGTGGCATACCTCGGGTGTTCGGTCCGGTGTGCGGAGGGAGAAAGATATCCTCACCGTCTGGCTGCATGTGCGCACACAAACAAACAGAAGCCGAGCGCACCCATTAAACCATTCACCGCCCGCAGAGAACGACAGGGCAGCCGTGGTTCGCAGAAGACACCAGACGATTCTCTCCGCGCACTGCGACTTTCTTCACGATACCCGAGCCACTCCCGAGTACCCAGGGCATATAATTCACGGCCGCGGAAATACCTGCACTGCGCTGACGGATATTCGCCCTCGTCTGCCGTTATAGAGCCTTTGGTCCGCTACTTCACTGTCTGCGACTGTGTCCAGATACCAGGCGTCATGTTGCGAACCGTCTCACGATCAGTCGCTCGACAAAGCCGCCTCCTCAAGATCGCTAACAAGCAGCCATCACTACTTCGACCGCTCTCCACCACAGCATACCGCATGTCGAGCTCAGCACTCGCCCCAGTAAACCCTCCCGTATCCATAGCCCTCCCCGCCGACTCATACCAGCTGCTCCCGGAAGCTTCGAAAGCTGGCGAAGCCGAAGATGCCCTCTTCGACGCCCAAGTACAACAGGTGAAGGAGTGGTGGGCCTCGCCGCGGTACAAGGACATAAAGCGACCATACTCAGCGGAGGATGTGGTCAGCAAGCGGGGGGCGCTCCAGCAGACGTATCCGAGCTCGTTGATGGCGCGGAAGCTGTTCAACCTGTTCGAGGAGCGGGCCGCGAAGGGGGAGCCCGTCCACACGAGTGCGTCCCATGACCTCCTAACTAGCTTTACAATAAATCATAGACTAATATATTTGTTTCTCAAACTGTAGTGGGTGCCATTGACCCCGTACAAATGACCCAGCAAGCCGCGAACCAGGAAGTGCTGTATATCTCGGGCTGGGCCTGCTCGTCTGTGTTGACTTCAACTAACGAGGTGTCTGCTGATTTCGGTGACTACCCGTACAATACTGTGCCGAACCAGGTGCAGCGGCTTTTCAAGGCACAACAGCTGCATGACCGGAGGAATTGGGATAATAGGAGGAAACTGAGCGCGGAAGAGCGTGCCAAGACTCCATATGTGGACTATATGAGGCCTATCATTGCAGATGGTGATACTGGGTAATTATTCAAACTCCTAAATATCAGACTCCAAGCTAATCCAAGCTTCCAGCCACGGTGGTCTCTCAGCCGTCATCAAACTCGCCAAACTCTTCGCCGAAAACGGTGCCGCAGCCGTCCACTTCGAGGACCAACTCCACGGCGGCAAGAAATGCGGCCATCTCGCTGGCAAAGTCCTCGTTCCAGTGGGTGACCACATCAACCGCCTCGTCGCCGCCCGCTTCCAGTGGGACATGATGGGCTGCGAGAACCTCGTCATCGCGCGCACCGACTCCGAAAGCGGCAAACTCATCAGCAGCGCCGTCGACGTCCGCGACCACGAATTCATCCTCGGCGTGACCGAAGAAGCCGAGCCCCTCGCCGAAGTGCTGCAAGACATGGAAGCCGCAGGCGCGCCTGGCAAAGAAATCGACGAATACGAAGCCGCGTGGGTGAAGAAGAACAAGCTCTACACATTCGATGAAGGTCAGTACCCCCTTAACCACACCCCCTGGCCAACACCCTACTAACATTTTTTCCCAACAGCCGTCGTAGCCCACCTCAAATCCGAATCCGCCTCCCAATCAACCATCGACGCCTACCTCTCCGAATCCGCCGCCAACCCCAACTTCTCCCTCCTCAAGCGCCGCCACCTCGCCGCCAAATTCACCAAATCCCCCGTCTACTTCAACTGGGACGTGCCGCGCACGCGCGAGGGCTTCTACCACTACCGCGCCGGCATGGCCGCGGCGACCAAGCGCGCGAAAGAGTTCGCGCCCTACGCCGACCTGCTGTGGGTCGAAACCGCCGACCCGTCGGTCGAGAAAGCGGGCCAGTTCGCCGGCGAGATCCGCGCGGTGTACCCGGGCAAGAAGTTCGTGTACAACCTGTCGCCGTCGTTCAACTGGATGGGCCACGGGTTCTCGGAGGCGACGCTGAAGAGCTTCGTGTGGGATCTCGCGAAGCATGGGTTTGTGCTGCAGCTGATTAGCCTCGCGGGGCTGCATAGCACGGCGACGATTACGTGGGAGCTGAGCAAGGCGTTTAAGGAGGAGGGGATGCTGGCGTATGTGAATTTGGTGCAGCGGCGGGAGAAGGAGAGTGGGTGCGATGTGTTGACGCATCAGAAGTGGAGTGGGGCGGGGTATATTGATGGGATTTTAGGGGCGATTCAGAGCGGGAGTAGTGGGAGTAAGAGTATGGGCGAGGGGAATACGGAGACGACGTTTTGAGGGAGTGTGTATGTGTAAAGTATAGCTGACGCGGTATTATAGATAGTCCTAGAATTCGTTTAAGATCAAAATATTTACTCGGAGGTTTTGAGACGATATGTGCATAGTGAATGGGTTTAGGGGGTCGCGTGGATAAGGGAAATGTTGGTCACATGACTTCTACATGGACCGTCGGAAGCTTTTTCCCCGGCGAGTATACATTGGGCACGGGAAATCACGTGTCGCATGTTAGGGGTAAGGTATAACATCTTCTCTTGCCTTCTTGTTTCGACCTGCAGGATGGTTGTGACCTCAAGGGAGGTACAATCTGGAAGACAACGAGGACATGTGGCTGCTGCCTGTGGAAGCAACATCACATAAGAAGTTGTTTAATGGTTTAGACTTCTTCAGCATATCTACTACTTTGCTGGGATGTTTTGGAGGAGCCATTGGAGTTCCTCAACACACGAACACAGTTCTGCTATGGGAGGTGTTGAAAAGCAAGAAGAATCACTTCTCAATGTTGCTGCGGAGGAGGCGGGTGGGTTTCAACGCGACGAAGAAAAGGCCGCGTGGGCCCGGGGGGAGGGGCAGACGGTTGGAATGAAGGCGCGATGGAGCGGCTGGAGTAAAAGCAAGACCCAACGGTCTGATGGAGGAGGCCGGTTCAAGTGCAGGGTTGATGATGGCAAGAATCTCAATGGAGTATCGATGGAATTTAAGGGGGGTTTCAGTGACAGGAGTGTATTACCACGAGCAAAAGTTAAACAACAGCAACGTAGTCAAGTGGTGCGGATTACCAGGAAGAAGTTGAGTGAAGCGCAGAAGTCCCAAATCCACTTCCCAAGGGCAAAGGCTCCATAGGGTGGTCTTAGTACCAGCTTAAAACTCGAACAACAAACATAGCCCATTCGTATCCTTGTTCTGCTTCCCTCATCTCTCCCCTTCTCCTCTACTTGAAAGAAAAACTTTTTCGCGAGATCGCGAAGATCTTATACCCCCAAAACTCCGTTATCACGTGCCCTCCCCTCCCCTCCCCCGCCCCTTTCTTTGCCCGTATCTTGGCCGTCTCCGCCTTGTGACCTAGCCTCCGGTCAAACGTGTGACTCTCGCGTGTCCCTCCCTCATGCCCTTTCTCCAAGGGACACTAAGGCTCTTTCCTGCTACTGTATTTTTGTTGTAATTGTAGATGGAACCTACACCTGAGGGTTGCGGGAGGACAAGGCTGGAGTCTATTGGTTTGCAGGCTGGAGCATCTAAACATTGGTGGAACGCGAACATTTTGTACACGAGCGCCAGGCACGCGAGGCACGGAAAAAGTGGCACACTCAGCAAGTACTCAGCCCGTGCGTACACCTGCGTGCCACTGCATGAAGTGCTTCAACAAGTTTCCACTTAGACCAAAGTGAAGGGCTTTTATCTCGTTCCAATTCCTGAAATCCTCTGAAGCACCCCAAGCAGTGGCAGACAGTTGTACACACGAGACAGCTTGTGCTAGGATTAGTGTGCCACTTTTTTCGTGCTTAGTGCCAGGTTGGCTACTACCATTGATTGCTGTACATACCTTTGTAATAGGTGATTGTCATAATCTACTAGAGTCGCCGCGTCGTCTGCTGGGTCTCCATCGTCCGTCCTCATCGCTGCTGGAATGCCGCCAAGTATGCAGGACGTTTTCTCGATGCTCTACTTCATTGACGACGCCGACCTGTACAAGACGGTGAAGCCGTATCATCTAACCTTCATTCCAGCCCATGATATCCCACGAACCAATCTATACGCACTGGTCGTAACGAAAATGGTATGTCTTTGATGGATCCAGATGACCACATATTGAAGTAAGCAGTATCTCCGTCTGAGTTCTACGCCCATAAGGTTCTGGCCTACTCCAAGCTAGGTCCACGAGAAACCTTCTTCTCCGGCTTCCATTGCAGTCGCCTGGGAAAATTCTTGATTTCTCTTTACCAGGCTTTTGGAGATGGAAAGGATACAGCTGTTTCCGATGACGGCTTCGACTTTGTGACGATTTGTGACTTGACGAAAGACCGAAAGGATCCCGAACATACCAAGCACTTCCGCTCACTTGATGACTTCACGAGAACTATGGAGGAACCAGTTGCACGCAACGTAGATAATGAGTCAAAGACGAGGTTACGAGTTTACTGGGCGATACGAACCAAAAGTGGGTGGGGCGCATAGTCTTTCTGCGCGGGTTTCCTTCTCCTAAATGGTTGAACCAGATTGGGGCATCTTTGGACGTGGACCCGGAGTTTCTATTTCGGCATGTGGCGGTTCCTGCTGCACATATTCCCGCAACTTCGCAGTACGACTACCCTTATCTACCATCCTTTCCCAAGACACCGAACATCATTCAACTACGAATCTACAATACTGGATCGTGGGATACTAGTCAGATTCGGCAGTCACTAAGTGACTTACGGCACATGTGTAACCAGAGAATGGACCGACATTTGGATAATATCATTACATGGCGAAACATTTCAGTTGAAGATTCGCTAGTTCGCCAATTTATCGTGCACGACGAGCGGAGGTTCGCCATCGAGCAAAGAATAACAATGGAAGTCGTATATCATACCGAAACTTGGGCAGGTAGGGGTGCAAAGATCCTAGATCTTGGATAGTCACTGACCTTGATAGTGGTCGTATGGTCCGACTCTGGGGAGGATATTGGAGCCTGTACAGAAGGACCATGGCGGGATGCAGCAGCCCAAGCAATTGGTCTGCACCCGATATATCAGTATCGTAGTCGAATCGCACTCGCCTCGCACGTGAATGGACGTGCCAACGGCAAAGTGATTAAGGTCGACAGCGCCAAGCCTCTTGGGAAATTTCCGCAAAGCATCGCCCACCTTCACAACGATTACGGTCAGTACCAAGAGCCAGAGCTTATGGTGCATGATGTCTTCTATGCGCTTGACGAGCTGTTCCAGCTTTCCGCCGCCTCCATCGATCAGGTGCTCGAGCTGTTGGAGGACCGCATTCGGAGGCTTATGCTTGGACAATCCCCTACCGAACTGCCAGAGCTGCTGCTGGCAAAGGCGTATGTGGACGATCTTCGTCGAAGTGTTCGTGACACTCTGGACATTGTGCGCCATCGTGGCAGCTCCCACTGGCCTCGGACAAAGGATAGTCGACTGGCCCGCAAAGCCGAGCGTGCAGCCAACGACCTTGAATCCAAATACGTCAGTCTGCACCGGCGATGCGAGGAGTGCTCTGACCAATGCTCAAACGGCATTACGATACTTGCTAACGCGGGAGCACGAGAACAGACGCAAAAGGCCATCGAGCAAACGGACAAGGTTACGAAACTCACATTTCTGGCCTACGTGTTCGTCCCAATGTCGTTTTCGGCATCATTCTTTGGCATGAATTTCCGAGAACTGGGAAACGACCTTAGCATCTGGACGTTTTTTGCACTGGCTGTGCCTATTGCAGTATTCTCGCTGGTTGTTTGGTGGATCGACCTGGGAACTATCTTCCGCGTCTGTTGGCGCTTTGTGAAAGACAGTGTGCCTTGCGGTCAGAATAGACTCAAGCGCAAGGCACGTAGCGCGAAAGCGCTGCCAAGATAGGTCGTTAGTGCTTGTGTCGGGATTAGGGCATGCGCTACGGCGTGCGATCTTGATCATCGCATCCTCGTCTCTCTGACCATCGGGTCTTTCTTTTCTGCCGTCATTGTAGCCGATCAATCCATGACGGACCATTCGCAGCGTCACCGAATTGAAACTAAAGGAGTCTTGCATCTTGAAAATACGGCCGAAAGCGTGACTTCCAATGCACAACAATACACTTTAATATGGACGTTACGTGACAGATTAGAATAGTATTCTATGTGCAAAATTGTTTCAGTCACAGCCCATGCGCTCGACCGTTCCCTCTGAAATTGGCATCTCTTGCGGCAAAGCCGCTCAAGGCAGTCTTATCATCAGTGGCAGTGAGGCTATACATAACAGTAAATCGTGAAATACCAAGCACTCAGAATATCAACCAATAAGATCTATTCTGTATTCTGCCTGGCACGTGCACCTAACCGCTCTTGGAATTCAACCCAATAAACGACAGTCTGCCTTCCCTGGGGCATACAAGGGGGCTACCTGAGCGGGCTGCCGGCGCTCCCTGCAAGCGTCTCTGTTAGTGCTTACAATCGCCACATCGCCACATGAAAACAGTGCTTATTCAGTAACTAATATTTCGTTGGGCCGCCATCAGCAGCAATTACAGCAAGGCAACGCTCCCTCATATTGCCCGTATACTTTTCAAATTCTTCGGGCTCAAGCTTCTCCCATTCCTCCTCAGCGTACTGCCGTACTTCCTCCTTTGTTGTAGGAAACCGGCGTTGTATTCTCCCCTTCAACAGCCGCCAAACGTTCTCAATTGGATTCAAATCAGGGGAATTCGC